TGGACCATTATCCATCTTCTGAAATTTTCTCAACTTCTTGCCCGTACTTTTGTAGGGGTAGAAGTTAGGATGATGATGATTTTAATGAAAAACAGTCTGCGTACATAAAATATAATACTTTAAAGAACACCGTATTATGAAGCCTTTTGATTCGGAACGCACTGGCCGACACGAATAAGAAGAATGAATCCTTGTTAGTAAAAACGACCTACGGCTACTAAAGGCATATATGGAATTATATCGTTGTGTTCATTCTATGTAATTGTTGAGAATGAATAATTATCTATCTGTCTTCGAATCGAAGAGTAGGACTCAGCGGATGTCAATGATTCTAAGTGGAAAAAAGGGAAGCGGATTGTGCAGTATCTTCTGCACAAAGCCTTTGCTACTGCGAGACCGTATTCCTAACTCCGCCTCATTGCATCACTTCGGCTCAAACTGATGAAATACGAAACAAGTGCAAAGACATTACTGGAGTACACACGAAGAGAGACCTTTTGCAAACGTCGCCGCGATCATCCATTTCATAGATTTGCAAAGGCCAAATCTATTTTGTTTCCAAAAAAATAAAATCCTTCCAAAGTGTTCTTATCTTGAAAGAAATGTGGCGGCTTACGCGACTCGCACAGTCACCGATGCGCTCACGCAGGGTTCGTTCTGTGATGCCGCTTTTAACTTTTCCTTTCAGATATATAGATGTATTGGCTGTATATTATGAATAAATAAGGTAATCCTATTAAGCAAGTTCATGGTGGTGTTGAAACTTTCAAAGACACCACATTCACAGGCACCCCAATTTCACGAGTAAAATACGCAATCCCGACCAGCCTGAAAGTACCAGAAAAATTTCGCGACCAAAGGACCCTCTACCATGCTGCTCCCTACATTAGAGAATCGTGTGGGAGAGGGACAATTTCACGAAGCACAGTGGTGCAGCCAGGCTAGCTTGAGTGAATGAAAAAGGTGCGTCTTGTAAAAAAAAAACAACATAGGCACAACATTAAACATGGAACGCTGATTTCAAATCTGCTTTCATTGTCTGCGAAGTATTTCTGAGAGGGGAGCTATACTGCAATTTATGATCTCAAGTGAAGCCATGATGATTGCCACGACGCTCTATGCATAAACTTGCGCTAGTCATCACTCTTTCTAAGCACCGGAAAGGCATCAACATTTGTTTTATCATAAACTAGCTGGCTTACCCGGCTCCGCCGTATGTTCCGAATAGAAAATTCCATTTCTTGACCGACCCCCACGGGGGTGATCAGCATGCTCGATTACCCCTCTGTGCCAACTCCCAGCCCCGTAGCTCAAATTTTGCAAAAAATCGATAAAATCGATATCGATCGATGACGAAAAGTAGCCTATGACACCCGCCGGGGCCCGAAGTGTATGTGTGCTAAGTTTGGTCCCGATCGGTTCAGAAATGGAATTTTCTATTCGGAACATACGTACAGACAGACATACAGACAGACAAACAGACATTCAGCTTTATATAGAAGGATAATTTTTTAAATTTTTGCTTCAGAAAATTCCCATACCCTCACAAAAGCGCTTTACACATATTAAAAGCAGATTTCGAATCAGTAATTCTTACTCCAGATGACCGTATACATTTCACCTGAAAACTCCACTTCGACCAAGTATCCTTCCCTTGTTAGATTGAACTATTTTCATTGCTCTATATGGTGACAAAGCCATGATGTTGAATTACTAAATATTAGGTCGTTCCGAGAGTAATGTCGCTTTTTTCAAATGAACGCCACATTTCATGGAATCAAGATTTTCAGGAGATCTTAGAAGGATTCGATGCAGAACTTCATCCTCTTTTTTATGGTACTAATTTCATTGCAAGATATTCAATGAGCTCTCGAAAAATTACCAAAACCTGCGACTCATGCTTTTTGTCGTGGCCAAGTTCGGCTTTGTTTCTAAATTTTTGTTTATTCTCCGAAGAAGCACAAGCGACATTTAGATAGAGCAAACCTTATAGGACACCAAGTTATTTTTTTCTTTTCCTTAGCATGCTTCTTAGAATTTCTGAAATCAATTTTTTAATGCCATCAAGTTCCATATTTGGTCAACTCTAACCTCACAGAACAACAACCGGCGATCAATTCGGATGTCATTCGATGCAGCTTTTTCAGCTCTTTCTACCAGCTGTTTTTTGTTTCCGATTCATCAAGTTTTCCGGGATAAAATCATCATAACTCGGATTTTCCGGGGCAAACCAGGCTGTACCCGGAAATTTCGAAAGTTGCTAATATAAAACGATGCATGCTCATTTGGTTTGTAAAATTAGTGTCAAACCATAATTCATCTTTGTAAGTTTCAAAATCCGAAAATTTATTGGTGTTTGATGCATTTGTGTCTGAGGCGAGAATATTAGAATTCGGTGGTTCCATCAAAAAATCTATACAAAAGTTATGACGAGCTCTGGAATATAGAAAAAAGTTGTGCTGTTTCCTCTAGGGTTTGCTCTATCCGTCCATTACTTGGACTCTTTCGAAGGGTCGCTGTAAAAATTTATAAAAATTGTGAAACTTGGCCCTCTCAAAAAGCATGGGTCGCAGATTTTGATAAAATTTCGAGAGAATATTGAATTTTTTACATCGTTTATATAACCACTAGCTGCGGTTCCCGGTCCCGCCCGGGCCGAGATTCCAGAATGGCCCAGCATAGGATGTGCTTCAAGAAGTATACTTACCAGTTCTCCACTTTCTTCAGTTCATATCTTCTGTTCTCTCCTGCTTCACCTCCAGGTCAGTTTTAGCGCTCGTGTAGTATCCGTGGTGAATAGTCTTTTTTCTTGACCGGCTCGCTTCATGACACCGCATGCTCCTCACCGCAAAATGTAAATGATCTCTACCACCCCTTACTACTCACTTGGAGAAATGAATGGTATAGCCTTCATTTTCCTAGATTTTAGTAAACAAAATCAATAAATTGATAGAAGAACCCAGCGAATTGTCGAAAAAAGAGCCTATCTTTTGCGCCGTGGCTTGTTTATAAGGAAACAAAATTCAGCCTCTTTGGTTCACATACAAAGGAGTCTATAAGCCACAAACATCCTAACAAACACGGTACAGTGTTTGAGTTTTATATATATACCAGTGCGTCACCTCTGCTTCGCAGGGCTCGCACTGGCCCTATTTTCTGTATGCCTTACTCATTCCCGTATAATAATGACATTGAAACTCACCGCGCTATGTAGGCTATCACGAATAATTCGTAAACAACTACTCATTCGTAGACGTTTTCCATGTGGGATCGGTATTTTCGCGTGGATAAAATCCTTCCCAGAAAAACAGATGCAAATTCGAATGGGTTTTTGGAATTTTTATGGCTTGACAGTCGCTGTAAGGACAATAAACATAGTGGGCTACATCTCTGTGCAAAAACCTTCTCAAATGATCAGGTAAAATCTTGAAAAATTGACCGTTTACACAGCGAATGCTTTTTGGCGCTGTTTTCGTAAAGTAGTAGGCTTTTCATTACTTTTGGCTAACATCCATGGCTTGCACAATAGCTTGTCAAATATATCCTTAACTCTGCAAAGTAGTACTACGGACCCAAATTTGCTGGCCAGAAGCCAAGTCGATCCGTTTGACGCGCAATTTTCAATGGATCCACTCAACGGATCCGCTCATGCTTTCGCATAGTGAGCTTTCATGCTGGTAGCGTGCGCTGTGCAAAATTTGGGCTCAGGACGTTGGCTGGAACACGCTCTACGAATTTCGTGACAAACACAGATTCGCACACACACACAGACAAACGTAAACAACCCTTAGCCGTTATTATAAGTTATGATAGATTAGAAAGAGAATGAAATGATGCATCAAATGCTCCAAAATCTCTTACACTCTTTGTTCCACGAGATGTGGCGTACGTTTGAAAAAAGCGACATTACTTCCGGAACGACCTAATATTTGTAAGTTTGATTCGGAATGAAACATTAATGTATCACAGTAGCCTGCTGCAATTTGTTTAGTGCTCAAAATAATCGAATTCACAGGCTTTCCTCTGTTACTGAGGAGTTATCAACTTTTCAACCTCTGTATTCACCTGGCAAAATACCAAATTACCGAGCTGCGGAACACAGTAGATAGGTTGTACAAAGCAACTGCTGTTACTGTCGCAAATTGGCCTTATAGCTAACTACACGTCAAAGCTCATAAAGAAGTGACACAAGCTATCGTGAGGAACAAACCTACCCTCGAAATCTATACCATCATCGTACATCAACTACCACCAAGATTCAAAGCTAGGATGACCAAATGAAACATCAAAGTTATGAACGATTGTCCACGGTCATAGACAGGTGAGGTTTTATTACTTGAGTAGGAAAACGAAAACTATGTTTATCAATGCAAAGGTCTTTTGTGCCGCTAGATTAAGTACGCAGAGACTCATTTACGCCATTCTCACAAAATTTATGGTTAGTTGTTTGCAATGTTGAATCATATATCTTATTTTTTTGTGCATAAGCAGCAACTGCGGATTTTTTTGAGAGGGTAACGTGAGGCGAGGAGCCCTGCTGGCAAAAATAGCTGATTAATGATAACTGCTTTTTACGAAATCCACCACGTGTGTCTGGCATCAGAGGGTACGGACTTGACTCCAAAGCCAAAAAATTCGAACTTTTGCGGAAGAGGAAGTATTCTCGGATAATTTGTTTGAAGATGAATTTCTAAAATTTTAAATGAAGAAAGCATGTGTAAGAATTGAATTCAGCTCAAAGATGGGAAGATAGTGACTAACTATAGTTTTGATGTGAACAATTTGCGAATGAACTACGATTGAAATTGAGTTGTCACGGCATCAGTAAGTAAATATCATGCTTAACATCTATGGGAATCATATAACTTATGACTATAGACTCGTGGGAATTGCAAATCTAATTGCAGTGATGCCAATCGAGATAGCCAAACACAAATTATTTATCAAAAAACCCGTATTGAGAGGACACTTTACAATAACATGTAAAACTTGGAAAAAATTCAAAAGGCAACAATGTTTTTAGGGGTTATAAGTTTTGTGCTTCGTCTTCTTAGGAATTGGCATGTGGCAACAAATATGAGCATGAAAATCCCAAGCGTAAGTAGGAAATATTCCAAAAACATAACAAATTTCGGCACGAACACAAATCCCAACCATAATTTTCTGTAAGTGTAGTCGTACAATTTGGCATCCGAGCTTTGCCAGAAGATTGGAATTATTGACTTGGGAAGATGCGCGTTTTGTCTGGAATGGATTGGGGTTGACGTGAATAGATATGTCGTGCTGATCTTACGGTGTGGATTTGATTGGCATTGTTGGCATCGAGACCATTAGTCGGTAGAAGACACCAGTGATTGTCCCAGAATACTGAAGGAAAAATGTGAGTTGCAGAAAAATAAAGCCAGGGTCCAAAGAAACGACGATCAGTCATCAGTCACTAAAGCCACCGTTGATGTCTCTTCAAGAGAGAAAATATTATATATCAAGCTGTTACATAAATTTTGCTACACTCGATTGAAAAAATCCTTATAACTTTGCCGAATAATTTTTCCTTACTTCTTAATTATGCCTAGTGTCGCAGATTTTTGATATGTACATGTCACGCATAAAAAATCAAATTTTAGAACTTTCTGAAATTTTTCCGAATTATTTTTGGCAAATTTCCAACTTTACTTGTTGACGAGCTTAGGCCTAAGGCATACTTTAAGCGATATCAGTCGCTGCGCCATTTGGCAATTCGCCAGAAGTCTTCAGATCCAACACTAGCAAACTGCACATGCATAGTGCGTATAATTTACTTGGATTGATAAAATGCCCTATCTTCTGTACATTTTAAATGTGCTCACAGTGAGTTATGGAAAGTTGGAATATTGCCAAATCGCGTCGCGACTGAAATCGCGTGAAGTATGCCCGGCCCTTTAGACTATCAGACTGCTTCAGTATTACTACCAATGCTCCCAGACGTCATAAAAAAAAACCTAAAAAGATGGAAAAGAAGAATAAGAGAATTTTTAAAATTCAAGGAAAAAAATGGAGGTTGAAGTGCCCTCATAAAGTTACCTTTATAATCACTCTAAGTTATGTTGTGAGGACATAAATGGTACCAGCGGATAACCCTCTATTCTTTTCCCATATTTGCCAGATATGAGAACTTGCCGAATTTTCTAGAGTTTTTCGGGGGGAAAAAGAAGAAAGTAACAAAGCTTATATAACAACCTAATAGAATTGGTAAGTCAATAAGAAAATAGTAAGAGGCTACAGTGCGTAAGTAAGACTCTTGGTTTAGGTCAATAAACACTTCCACCGCAGAATCTGGTTGGCATGCGCCAGAGGTTACTGGAACTTCAAATATGGAAGTGTATTGCACAAGGTCTAGAAGTGGTTGTCGAGTTTTCTTCCGTTCGCATCGAAAGGAATTGATAAGCATGTGATAGAACAAGGTTCTATTCAATGACTGTAAACTGCCATCTTCTGAGTTTCTTGATTTTCTAGGCTAACATATGCTGCTGGGCATCCCAAAGATAGTTGTAACGTTTTCACACATTTTACAATGAATGAAAGACAAAGGTCTACTTACGGGTTCGTGAGAGTAGATCATAGGTGAATGTGTCTCGTTATTCGGGTTGAGTCCTACTACGGAGTCGATCACCGTTTGTGGTGAATAGAGAAAATGTGGTGGTGAATACATTACCGCAAACGGAGTAGGTTGCAATCGACCTGAAATCAGATTTCTTTTTCAACTTGGTCAAGTTTGACAAAGATTAGTGTTTTGTTGCTACAAAACCCACAACCTTTTTCATCGATTATAAATTTTCCTAAGCCACAGTATGTTCACCGAATTGCTAATCAGTTAAAAATGACGGTTTGGGTATTTATAAGATACAACAAAACAGAGTTCTTGACGAGAGATTTTCTGGTACCCTAAAATCCCATAGATAAGAGCGGTTTAATTTACCGGTGAAAAATGAATTGGAATGAATTGAAGTTGAATGCAGTCACCCCTCTAACTTGATGGATGGATAAATAAAAATCGAAGAAGTTTAGAAGAAGCTCCGCCCCTCAACTCTAAACCCCGCCCACTTAATAAACAATTCATATAGAAATTCCGAAATTCCGTTAAAATCGCTATTTCTACATGAATTGTTTATTAAGTGGGCGGGGTTTAGAGTTGAGGGACGCAGCTTCTTCTAAACTTCTTTTCCGATTTTTATTTATCCATCCATCAAGTTAGAGGGGTGACTGCATTCAATTTCAATTCATTCCAATTCATTTTTCACCAGTAAATTAAACCGCTCTTATCTATGGGATTTTAGGGTAACATCAAAGAAGACGACATTGTTGGTGAGTAATTTATCACGTAACATATGAATAGCGATAAGGTTAGTGTTTTGTTGCTACAAATTGCACAAACACTTCTCATCGATTACAAATTTTTCCGAGTTACAGTATGCTCACCAAATTGTTGATCAGTTATGAATATGACAGTTCAACTATTTATGAGATACAACAAAACGGTTTAAAGCTCCGGAAGTGGCTCGGCAAATCTCAACATAGTCAAATTTTTACCTGGGGTTATTCAATACGCTGATTCCGAAAATCCGCTTTTGAGAGCTTGAAAATGCCGAAACGAGCGTTTTTCAATGCCCTTCCCTTTGGAATTGGACGAGTGCTGCAAGGCTGATGACGCCGAATCGTTGCGGGACCCAATGGTTATAGCATTGCGGCGGGCAGCCTCCAACGGTGAGAAGGAAATTGCTAACTCGTCCGGATGCGTGTAAGAATGGCCTGCGCGTGTAAGTTTGAGAGCAATTTTCTCGGCAAGGAAGGCATGCTGTGCAACCGGGATTGCACTGTTTTCATACTTGGACAATAAGGAGTTTTACAGCGTTAAAATTTTGAGTTGTTGAATTTGCCGAGCCACCTCCTTCAACGAGAGATTTTCCGATAACTATATTCAAAAACAATCTCTTCCCCCTTGTAAATTAGTATTGGCTCAACATGGTGCACTCACAAACGAAAATGAGTGTTTTGATAAGGAAAAATTGGGGTAGTCGCTTACCCGGATAGCAGACCATTGGGTACATTCCAGGTGGAAGTAGGTACGTTCCATTAACAAAGCTCCCGTTGCAACAAGCATGGCAGAGATTTTCCTGTAGAGAGCAATCGAGTTGCTGGCCATCAATACAAAGGCTGTGGTTTCGTCTAAAATATATTCTTTTACACTAAAACAGCAATTTACACCCGAGTGATTTGACTTGGGAAACCTAATGGAATACGGATTGAAGCTTTTCTTACCCTGGGCATAAAGGCCAGTCTGGATAATAATTGACCTTTTCAACATTCCTGTACCGAAAGCCAGCGTTTAAGTCGGATGTGGTGTCATAATCTTCATATGGAACTGCGAACCTGTAATATCTCCTCGAAATTTATCTGCATTCAATAAAATTGATTCCCACATATATGACGGAATATTATGCACAATGGTTTCGTTCAGAAATATCTTCGTGAATGATCGGCACATGTACGATTGGAAGAAAGGAAGTCTATCGGTTTTGTCCAGGTTCATTTTGCAGAAACTTCCAGAATCTGAATTCGCAAATTTCAAGCCGAGAAGTTCGTTTTTTATACGTACCGGAGCCTCGAATGCTTCTTGCATACTCTGTTGTCCACCAGTAATCAGGCAGTAATGAGTGATTTCCCCAGGTGAGAATATTGCCGATCTCATTTATCTCCGACTTCCCCGTTTTTACCCAATACTCCTCGTCGCGACTATTATTATACTATAAGGATAAGAAGCACATCAATTAATCGACTATTTCAATTAGACTTACCCCTTGAAAGTACCCTAGCAACGGCATATCAGGAATGGGAATCGGAAGAATGCTTTTTCCTCCATTCACAATCCCACTTATAAAGGCTAGAAACTGCAAGATATACATCATAAATCTGCCAGATTAAATGCTAAGCAGCTCGTGAAAGAAAAAACTGCAATGCTTGATTATCACGAACTATCCTGCACATTCATTTTTTTCGATAGCCTGCACATTTTCGTAAAATCGGAGCCTTCAACATTAATTGATTCTCTTCTTTGATACTATTCCTTACTACAAAAGCGAATATAAAGTGAAAAGTGAATTGCGCTAGGCCACCTACAACCCGCAACCCTTAATTCTGAATTGTACTACCTGGACCTTTGAATTGTTTTGCTGGAAAAAATAGTACAGCGAGAATGGGGACTACGAAATCGCGAGGTTGTGATAAGAGTAGGAGGGAAAAGTGAGCTGTTATGACGACTTTTATTTCAATGCCCAAAAAAATTTGGATTGAAAGGGAATATAGACAATAGACAAGATGGAACAAATTTTGTTGTGAATAATGGTTGTGATCGGGCAAGCCATCCAAAGAATTTGTGTTCTGCTAACTTGTCTTATAAGAACTCTTTCCTTTGATTTTCTTGCAATTTTACAATAATCCTGCAACGACACTCCTTTACTACTCCCCGAAAATATCTGGCCACACTGTGTGGCACTGTGCTGAGCCCTGTCTGCACATTTTGGTATCGCCCAAGCATTGTAATGTTTCAAATGATTTCTAACCTGACAAATAACAAAAGTTTCATTAGGTACGACGATTTTGATCAAATAAAACGAAGGACGCAATTTTCTGGATTTTGTATGCTGCTGTCCTGTATGTCCTAGTCATCTTGTAAACAATGATAAAATGCTAGTCACAACTTTGCAGCACTCTTGCCTGTGTAGAAAAACAAAAAAAAATTTTGCATTACAGTAAATATTTGAAGAAGAAGAAGAACGACCAGAAATCGCACTGCTTCCAAATTTGTCAAGCAACATACAGGCGTTCCCAATTTTTATCCTTATTCAACACGCTCAGATTTCATGTCCAAACGAAACAAATGTTGCCAAATATATACTAAAAATGGACACAAGCGAACAACTTGTCATGTCGGTTTAAATTTACTTTGCAACCAAATTAATGTAAGGGGAAAATATCGATCCAACTTGCGCGGACTATATTTTGCTATGCGAGCGTATATATCAAGCTTGAATTACTATTAGCAGACAAACTCATTACCCATGTCTCTCGCTTCCCAGCAAAAAGGATCACGGTATTTGAGAGCAGTGTTCCTCTTGCATTTCAATTTCGGGCTTCTTGCGTGATACATTCTTTCTAGATCTACATGATCTTAAACCCCAACAATCAAAGGCCTCGTAGAAACAACGCCTACTCAGCACTACCTAATTCTGGTGAGACACTGCCTTCAATACTAACAATTGGTCTTAAGTTTTTTTTTGACATTTGAAGTAAAGCGCAACACGTTGCAATCCATATTAGATGTACCTGAAGCGATTATCCAAAAATAAGTCATCATACCTTAGAATGACCAATGTCTAAAAGGGCGTCATTGTAACCATCGAATAATACTTCTTTGACAGTATGAGATCTGTACATCGGGTATATTGTTATTGGATGCTTTTTGAAACTAGCGAAACTTACATGAATGGGTATTCCCCGACCAAAAGCAGTCCAAAAGCGAGTATCTTTTGCGCCACAGGGGTGATTGCATACTGCGGGTCGTAAATTGCTCCCGCAGCACCCTAAAATGTCGCATGTTCTTGCTGACCAGAATAAATAGGGTTAATACATGAAAATCTTTAGGCAACTGTTCGATCAAAAATCAAGATAGTAGGGTTTGCTAGTGCTCGAAACACAATTCTTTGGGCCACAAATTGCTGTGAAATAGCATTGCCAGGGCTGTTGTTACGAAATTGGTGCGAAAAGGTGTAAAAGAAAAAACAGAAAGCAGCCATGACCCTAGTTTGGTAAGAAAAAGCTTTGTAATGAATGAGGAACTCACGATGCCTGTTGGATTCGGAATTGTGACAATATCGTCCCAAGAGCACTGCTGACATGAATATTCTTTGCTTATGGTGAATCTTTTATAGTTTTGATAGAAAAGCTTTTCTTTATCCTCACTGAACTTCAAATAACGTTTGTGCTCGGTCTCTCTGAAAATAGCATCGCAACAATCACCGCTTGATCGAACTGCCTACCTGACTTTGATCTGGGCCTGATTTGTTACAATGTGAGATGAAAGTTTTTCTTTTCAGTAACTCTACCTCCATCATCTGCTTTCGTATAGGATTTGACAAAAGATTTACACTATGAAGAGTATGAAGTATTAGGTTGGCTAAAAAAAATAGAATTGTTTTGACATATAAAACCTCACAAAAATACAACTCGTTACCATTTAGCTATAATTTTCTGCAAAGAGGCAACTTTTAGCTTTCACTTTCACATACTCAGACAATTATGGCGAGCACTCGCCGGCCACCCACGGACGACGCCACGCCCATCCCGAGAGCGCGCCGATAAGTGCCCGGTAAGCGCCCGACAATACCCGCGGGTGATCCGATAAACGCCCGAACAACGCCAGCGGGTGGCCCGGCAAGCGCCCGATAAGTGCGAAACATGCATCTGGAGGGAGGGGGGAGGGAGTGGCAGTACACCTCGGTAGGACTTATAGGTTCACACCTTTCATCCTCAAAATTTCGCGACATCTACACCACCATAACAAAGTTTCCGACAGTCATCAGATCTCAAGACCAAATAGTCCAATAGAGCTCATCCGAGACAGTACTGATGAACAAGAACCTAATGCTACTTGACTTTTGATTAACGACACAAACGTTGAGGGTAGCCCTATTACCACGACGTATCTCGCGCGAGTAGCGTTCCCTCTTATAGCATGTACTAATTGTGCGGTCATGCAAGACCCGGGGCTCGTCGGAGTGACTCTGTCGGGCCGTGGCCTATAGGGCCCTTACCCGAGAACTCATATGCATTGCGTCCAGTAAGGCCCGGGGCTTGCCCGAGCGCTTTTCCTTGGGCCGCGGGTGTTCCGATAAAACTTTTAAGGCCCGCGGCCTTTCCTTAGCGATCACATTGAGCCGCGGGTCGCCAAGCAAATAATTCTGGGGCCGCGGATGGTCATTCCACGAATTCAAGCCCGCGCACCGCCGAAAGGCACCGTTGGGGGCCGCGGATGCTCGCAGTAATTGTCTGAGTATGTACTATTCAAATATCCCATCAGCAAGAGAGGAGTTTTTTTTTGTCCAAAAACGGCTAAATTTTCAGAAACTCAGCACTCTTTTTAAGTTTTGATTTTACTCTTGTGAATGTACAGATGTAATTTGTTGAATAGGTTAGATACAATTGTTCACTAGTTAATTACCAACAATAGAAATTGTGATCTGCTTATTCAAAGTTGTGTGATTAGAAATATTGAATTATCTCATATATGCTCGCCACAAAAGAGTCGGGGGAATCTTACTTCTTTGCGATTTTCTCAAAACATTTCTACTCAAGCAGAATGCTTTTCTGATTCTTAATTTTAGAGTCACTAAATACAACAAAATTATTCGCAATTTTTCTGGGAGTTGCTAAAGCAACAAATCATAAGCCAGCTAATATATCCAACTTCAGAAAACTATTATCAAATCATTAAACATGTTCAAGCAGACAAAATTTTGAGACAGTAGATCCATGTTCTGTTCGATTGTGTCATCAAATAACCGACTGAATAAAGTCCAACTTTTGATAAGTTTCTGACAAGAGTGTCAGACTGACTTGTTCTTTTAACGCTAATTGAATGTAATGCATTCCTTCCGCATGACCAATCATTTGCACAAAGATCACTGTGATTTACTGCGTGCACAAGCTCTGATAAGCCATCATAGTGCACTTCAGAATTTCTGGTCGGAAGAGCCTTGAGCCCACGCCAAGCTGCTTTTGGTTCGCGACAATCCAGACTTACATGACTGTATATGCTAGTGTTTCGACTAGGCGAGGTTTAGCACTGAAGTAGATCATCTCATCCGGATTTGTTATGTTAAAGAAGAAGAATTTCATAATATTTTTCATCGGCGGATTTGCATACATAAATGTAGAAAAAGTAGGGCTCCCATCCTCATGTTGAGACATTTGCAGATTCTGAACAAGGTACAATAATAAATGAGAGTGGGAGTTTGTCAAGTTACCTCAACAACCATCTTGGAGTAGAAACTGGGAAATATCGATAGTGTGACAATAGAGATAGTTAGAGAAATGACGGCAATTATTGAAGCAGCTACATCACATTTGGTGAATTTTATCATACTGCAAGGATAGCTGAAAAGGATTTTGGAGCAAATTTATAATTTCCAATGTAAGATTTAGTAAGATTTAATGCTAAGATAATAGAGGTTGTTTTCTTCTTCATGAGGAATTTATCACAATATACAGCTGATGGCATGGCAACAATAATTCATCATGCCGCTATCAAGCTTATCAGGCGCCTAACTATGCGGCGGCTACTATCGCTAGCTCCTCTCTCATATAGTAAATCATGGTGACGAAGTGGTGAAAGGGTTAGAGTAAATCTGTATCGTTTTGCGTTTTTTCATTTGTTTATTTGTAAGCAACTTTTACCGTGATAACATTGTCTAAATTTATTTCGGAGTAGCATCTGATGAGTCGGTACTACATGTTCAATACTCGTATACAGTTTCTTTACTTATTGAACCATGCGGTAACTTTAATTAACTTACAGTCTCGCAATTTATTTATTTACGTTAACTCACCGTTGAGATACAAAATAACGGTAAGTTATTTCCATATTTTCATTTTCATTGGATACGCTCGAGACGTACCATAAGAAAAAATGTAATTTGTTCGTTTTACACAAAAAACGAATAGCAACAAAACATCATATGCTTCAAGCCCAGACTTCATATAAACTGAAGAATAACGACTTAGCTTGCAAGAAGACTGCTGGATATTACGAATGTCAATAACGAGTTTTATCCACAGAGATGGAACCCATGCCCCCGCGTTAGCTAGCAAACGATCTTAAAGTATTCAAAGAAGCAAACGACGGCGGGTAAGCACCCACCGCCCTGCCGGGAAGAGCCCAAATATTCCATGAGCATTGCTACATGTGCAAAACAGAATACTATCACATACTGCACATCGAATATGAATCTAAGCGAATTTTAATCTAAGGAGATGGTACCCATGCCCCTTCGTTTGCTAGCCACGATCTCAAAAGATTTCGAAGAAACAAACCGGAGCTTATAGCCCAACCAGTCTGCCGAGGAAAGCCCAACTCCGAAAGTAAGAATACGCATAGCATGTTTATTCTCACTTTCGGAGTTTCTCTTCAAGCAATCAAAGCAAGCAAGCTGTGCGAAACAAGCTAAAATATAGATGTGACCCAGGCTTGAATCGCATGGTGAAGAGAACTTATTAAAAAGCTCAAAAGCAGTAGAATTCAACATATGCGAAGTTATAGAATGGCTGCTAATCAGTGCATATTCGTAACCAAATCATGCTCACTGCACATGTCTGGGTTGCAACCACGCAGTCATAAAAGAAGGGAGGTGACATACGTTGAACCTGCAAAAAAGTCGTTCAATCTAAGCCATATCTAGTCACACTAGATACATCGCGATCACATCTTCTCATAAACAAATCTATCCGCAAATGAATTCCCAGAGTAGTTTACTCAATTCTTTTCAAAATTCTTGAAATTGTACAAAAGTTTTGTCCTTCCACATCTTGAATATGCTTCTCCTATCTGGAATCCATTTTTGAAACGAAACATCAATAGAACTGAAAGAATTCAAAAAAGCTTTACGAGATTACTATTCTATAGATGTTTTCCGAATTCTGACTATCCCCAAGCCTTACCATCATATCGATAACGTTTGAAAATGCTTAAACTTCAGAGTCTAAAGTACAGACGTATTGTCAGCGATCTTACTCTCTCTTTCCGAGTATTACGCCTCGAAACCAGACTCAAAGCTAGTAAATTCTGGATCTTTAGACCTTATAGCGCCCGGTCAGGTAGGTTTGGACTATATTATCGTAAGATAGGAAAAAAACGACTTCTTATGACTTTTAACTCCTTTGCCTATCGAGTGTGTAGATGGTTTTCGTCACTTCCTGATTATATCATCGCAAGTGAAAATTCTAAAATTTTTCGAAGAAAATTGCAGAATGTAAATGTGCTCCAGATTCCTGATATCTGTGATTTTTAGGCGTATCCCGTACAAATGTACCATCCAGTGTTGTTCAACCAGCCTACTCCATCAGCTCAACCAATCTCAATCAATAAACGCCACCCTTTCCATACTTTTACATGATCAACCTAATGAGACAGAATGACCACTATTCACGTTCTAATTCATTAATACTACTATATCTATTAGTTCATAATGATAAACCAGCTCGTCTCATCTAACAGGAAATCATCTTCATACCATTCCCGTCCTAAAACACACTAGATAGCATCGCAATCACATCTTCTCATAAACAAATCTATCCGCAAATGAATTTCCAGAGTAGTTTACTCAATTCTTTGTTTAATAACCTTGCTCTTCTCTAAAATGGAACTTGTTTGGGCCTACTCAGCTAGCCTTTGCCCGCAGGCTCGCTGGCAAAACAAAAAGGGGGCCACTACAATTTTTAGAGGAAGCAAGGTTTCTAGAACTTATTCTGTGACTTCAAATGCCATTTGACAAGCCAATAGATTTATATCTTAATGATCTTGAGTTTTGATTTGTAATTGTTTTCTTCCATGTCTTTTTTATCTGCCTGAATTCTGAGACTAGCTGGTACCCTATTTACTTGAGTTCCTTTTTTTTCTTCGGCACACTTCAAGTGTATTAATAAATAAATAAATAAATAGTTACTCACAATGTGAAGCTTTTCACATACATAGACTAGTAGTGTATGCACGGACATCCCCGCTGATGAGGAGAGGGGAGCTGAAAGGAGACGCTTTTATATATCGCTGCTATAAATGGCTATATTCTTCTTTGTTTATTCATCTGATGAAGGTTCTCATTTTCTCATAAGTCTATATTTGAGCGTCTTGAGTAAATCTATATGTTAATGAAACTCAAACTTTGTAAGTGTGTTCGTTCAACTGTTCGTTCGTTATAAAAATGCGCGCCACTGCACTGATCCAGCTGAAACTTTGCATACATATGTTTTCGACCCCGCGGTGGTCTAGAGCTACTTTTTGCGGCGATTCGCTGGCTCCTTCCATCGAGTAATTGATTTTTGGCATAAAAATGAGTTCTCAGCATTTAACAAGTCGTTTCCATGATTTGGGGACGAGTGACTAGTGGTATGAAACGCCGCAATGACCAGATCGGGCACAGGTTCGATCACCGCCCAAAGCCAACCACGCCCTCTACCCTACGGGGCTGGTAAATTGGTACCAGAGTAATCTAGGAGGTTGAAAGCACTGACTTGGTATTGGCTGGCCCCGCAAGTCACTGTAACAGGCTCGTACGCATACAATTGCCTCCTCGACTAGAAGTAGAGTGCGTTTGGAGCCTGCCCGCAGAGGGTATTGAAGACGCCGAATCATTTATCTTTTTTATGATTCCATGATTTCGTGTAAAGAATAGCAGTTTAATGCGGTGAATGTGATGCTTGGAAGCGACCTATAGCGGGTGAGTCACTTTATTACAGAAACATCTTGAACCGCATCATAGCTGGTGGGGAGGGGGGGGGGGGGGAATAGGGGCATTGAAGTAAGCAGTGTTGGAGAACGGAAGAAAGTCGAGTCGTCAAATGAGAAAAAGGCGACTTACTCAACGTTTCATGTTCCAAGGTGCGCAAACGATTTCGTGCCGGATCAGCTGAAGCGGTGACCCGGGTAAGACCGGGAAAACTAGCTAGTTACAAATAAAGCAGTTTGCAACATCGTTCAGTGGTGCTTTGCTAAAAGAATCACCACCATTATCAAAGCTAAGCAATCCATTTAGTCAGCTATTTTTTCAGAGTACACTGTTTGGCTTTGTGAATGAAAGGGAGGCAGCAATCGTGCGATTTAGGTTGCATTCATTTGGGCTTTTCTAGGAAGAAATTGCAGCTCAAAAGAAGCTACGGATTTCACTCTATTTATACGTTCGAAAGACTATACTCCTTACCAAAGACGAATGCAAAAGCGTATTACCGTATAAGCAGCGTCTTTTAAGTATTCTATAATCCCATGGAGATCCTTAGCTACTAGTTCTTTTTATCCAGCTACTGGCGGTCTCGGACTAATTGTAAGACTCCAAATTAGTTTAGCTAAGAAAGCATCTATTTGCGCTTTTTAACTTCTTATACCCTGTGCAAAATTCGCTTTGAGACGAATTGTTTCATACTTCAATGTGAGATATCAAATGAGCTTTCGTCCCTACTTATATGGTTATAGGAAAATGATTGATTAGAGCATGATAAGCTTCCATTTTACTAATTTGAGTGAGCAAGTCAATAAATCAATGGAAAAGCCCAGTATAGCCAGTATAGCCCAGTATACCGCCGCAGAAGTGCATATGTTCTCCGTAGTAGTCGAGGAAATATGTGTGCAAAGTTTCAGCTCAATCGGTTCATCGTTTGTGTTTTTATAACGCAACAACTTAATGAACATCCTTTCTGATTTTAAGTTCTATTTATACCATCGGCTTCCAAATTCGTGGAGGTGGAATCTTGCCAACTCACAGCGTGGCGGTTTTTGCTAGCGAGGGAGCAAAAGCAATGCTATAACATGGAGGTTTCACAAGTTTATTCTTGTTATCAGGCAAAGTCTGCGATACACCACACGAACCGGGGAACTGATCATAGATATATTCTTCCGTAAAAGTGAATAATGAATTTGTCTTATGTGCTAGTGCCCCATACGAGGTGTCTATATGATAAACTTTTGAATTACAGTCAGCAGGCATTGTTCACTACTCAGTATTTGTATGATTTGCATTAATAAAATCTGTTAGCGGCTAATACGATGGACTTGCATTTTTGCTTTATGATGATGTTGCTTTAGATACTTAGATAATTTTATTTTGAATCAAACTTGCTGGTAGGCAAATTATGGCCTTTCCAAAGGTCGCTGATTTGTAGCAAGATTAATCGAAATGACCTTTGTAGAAACATATCGGACATCAATCGAAACTACAGACAGAGATACAGAGTTTCTTTGACAGATCAAAATGTTGATCTTCAAAGAAACCTGCATAAAAACACATTTATTGTATTGTAACAACGGATTCTTGTTCGGTTTGGGCGGGTCCTAAGAATGTAGCAAGTATTTGCGTGCATAGAGGCCTATAGTGAAGTTTAGACAGTTCAAATGGCTTGCTAATGCCAATGTTCGTAAGCTTTCTTAGAATACGCCCGCTTCCTTTATGTGCTCTAAATATAGCCGCTCAAACACAGACGATTGCATAGTTACTTTACCGCTCTTTCAAGAATAGTGTGAAAATGAGAAGAGCAAGGAATTTTTATTGAATCGCATTTTAAATTACGGTACGCCTCAGCTGACGTATTGTCACCATCGAAAATTGCGTAAAACCGCACAATTTCGGGAGGGGGAGGAATAATAGTGCCTGTCACTTTGACTATCCAATTTACTTGTAACCCGTTACTTGGAATAACAACAGTAAACAATGCAAATAAATATAACTTCACAATTCCGACATAAAATCAGCCGGTCTTCTCCTCCTTCGCCATATTTGAAGCAATGCGATGAGCAGCAAAAGTATAACTCCAACTCCTAGCAGAGTGAACTCGATGGCTGTAACCAACTTTGGTACAAGCACAAAGCCCAGCCATAGCTTGTCATAAACGTAATCTTTGAGAACAGCGTGAGAATCCTCCCAGAAAATTGGAATAATTTTCTCGGGGAGGTCACGATTGGGTCTGAAATAAAAGCTTAAATGCTTGAAACCAGCATGCTTATTATGCTCTTACACAACTCCTTTGACGGGCATCGTCGGCATTGAAACCTGTAGTCGATAGAACACTTCCACTACACTACCAGAATACTGCAAGAGGCTTATGATAGTTATCATAATTGTTAGTATTCAATGCACATAGATGTCTCAGCTTCAATGAAACTCTTTTTGGTTGGTGCTTTTTCTGATAATGGAAGACATACCGGTTCATGATTGTACACCATCGGCCTGTGCGTTTCAATATCGGGATGTAGTCCGACTACAGAATTGATCATCTCTGGCGGTGAGTACACAAAATGTGGAGGTGAATACATCACGGAAAATGGAGTAGGCTTAAGACGACCTAAAATTGAGTTGCTTTGATGATATCTCAGGCAATGACTGCCATGTGCATCTTATCTCAGTGACGAAGTATGGCTAACAATGCTGCATGTAATCGCACCTGGATAGCAAACTAGTGGAAATATTCCAGGGGGGACCAGATATGTCCCATCTACGTAACTCATATTGCAGCAGTCATGGCAGAGATTTTCTTGCAAGGAGCAATTTACAGCAGAGTGATTTTTACAACTTTCAGGAAAGCGTCTGAAATGTGTGATTTTCTCCGTTTTCTCGATGAACTATTTTTGTCAGCTATATTATATCAGAGATGCGATGTAAATATCATGCTCATAGATACGTAGATAAATCAAAATCGAAAATTATGATTTCTGTAGACGAGCAACAACTATGGCGAGTAAATGGATTATTGTAACCTTCTCGTTCTCTGCTTTAGAAAATACTAGTTGGCAAACCCGGCTCCGCCCGGCCATGACAATAACATATTTGTAATCAGCATGCTCGATTACCCCCCTGTGCCAACTCCCAGCCCCGCAGCTCAATTTTTGCAAAAAATCGATAAAATCGATATCGATCGATAATGAAAAGTAGCCTATGACACGCTCCCTGCCCCGAAGTGTATGTGTGCCAAGTTTGGTCCAAATCGGTTCAGAAATAAAAATTTCTATTCCGCATGTACGTACAGACAGACATACAGACACACATTCAGCTTTATATATAAGATTAGGTCGTTTCCTAAGTTCGTAGCGTTTTTACAAACAAAAAAAATCATTAATTTACAGCAAACTTCAAAAAAATCATATTCCTCGTTGAGCGCACGACCTTTTGGCACATTCTTGTTAGCTTCTTGATCTCAATTTTTCAAACGGCAGCGCGTCGGGTCTCAAGAAAGTCATCTAACCAACTCTCAAACTACTCATTAAACCGAGGCATGCGCCATCCATGAAATCTTCTAGAAAGCGGAACAAATGATATTCTGATAGAGCGAGATTTGGAGAGTACGTTGGGTACTAAAGTCCTTCCAGTCAAATGGTGCAGGACGTTTTGACGACGTTGCCGTATGAGGCCATGTTTTGTCATGCAGAAAAACTTACTGTGTCTGTCTGTTAGGCTTTTTCTGCGTTAGGGTTTGGGGGTTTTTTTTCTATGAAATTCAAGTGAAACAGCTTTCCACCGGAATCAGTAGACATATTTTAACACAATCACGACAATACGACACACCGATGGTCGTAAGAATCTTCAAGCTCTATCTTTGTCAGTTTCCGATAGATTTCTACTGGGTTCTGGCACATGATTGGGGACACCTAGCGATGTTCCAGTAAGAGTGGTCCGGGATCGGGATACTGTAATGTAATGTTACGGTAGGTATAAAGTAGATAAAGATAAAGCACAAACTTTAGCTCAAATTTTTCGCGGAATGATGCTGTTTTTGAGGATTCAAGTGTACATGCACGAGAAATTCGTGGCTAGCAAAAGACTTGTCAGCCCATCAAAAAATCTTCGATTTATGATTTTATTGATTTTTTGCAATGTTTATCCTGGGAAGCTCAAATTTTACATACGTAGGTTTTTTAGTCTCAAGTTTTAATACCGCCTTCTTACACCAGTTTCTTGGTTTTTGCGAATACTTTTCCGTACTGCTACCGTAACCCTACTGTGGGACAGTTGTGAACAAAGTGGACACTATAGTCGTAATCAGCATGTAACATAACCCCAAAAGACACTTTTTATAAAAATCCATGATGTAGGGTTCGTACTAAATGACTACCGTAACCGTACCGTATAACGCCAAAAATTGTAATAAATCATATTTCGATAAACGCTTTCGATAAGTCGTTGGGTGGCATTCGCGGAGGCATCTTTTGACCTTCTCCAAAACTACCATTTCGACAATACGACCCTTCGTAAGTTTGGTAAAGTGGAAAAGGCTCTGGGTGTTAAGAGCACAATTAGCCCTTCCAAGTGATATAAGCACCTTGCCGCAAATCAAACGCTCCTCAAAGATGTGAGGACGAAAATGAAAACGCTACGAATTTATGGAACGACCTAATATACAGTGACCGCCAAAAAGTTGCGGACAAGCCTCCCTCCCATTTTCATCGCTCTTTTTCAGGAGGAAGACAAGGATGAAAAAATGTAATAATTGCATGAGGTGATAGAGCTCTTCAAGATCTACAATCCACACTTTGAGTTTTTTGAGAAACATGTGTTCTAAAAATTTTAAGAATCTTTTTCTAAAAAAAGTCCGAAAATGGCCGCGTCACAATGTCGCGGACAATAATTCTTCGAACGCAAAAATTTTCTTTTGAGTCCTATTTTAAAGCGGAAACACAAGTTATCCGGACGGGTAAGCATACTACTATACAGAGCTCGTCAAGAACTACGCTCTGGTTATGATTGCTTCCCCAAAAAACGCAAGCTTGAGTTTTATTTTAGTTTTTTCAAAAAATAACTTCTAATTCCCTGCTTCAAGCCAAATTTCTTCACACGGAAACCTGTTCAAGACATCCCAACAAAGCCGTCTCGATAAAATAGATGCTCTTTGCCATCCTCTATGCATCGGACATGTGCTGATGATTTTCTTGGCTGAAAATGGCCCTTGGCAGTGCTTGCACATGACCCCACCTGCACCTCACCACTGACTTGTACCGCTTTGCAGGCTTGTAACTCGGCTTGTAGTCAATATTTGAGCCTGCAATTAGGCTCATTCGAAAGAACGAGACTTCCTCTACACGATGGTTTGCAAATAAGTTCAGTTTGAGCAATCCCAGAGATTTAGCGGATGGGGTGGTAGAGGGCAGCTTCAGTTGTAGTCTAAGCACATTTCAGCTAAAGTTGAAGAGAGCTCCTTTCTCTACCAATTTTATCCCGGAAGTTCAAAACTGTCAATTTTCTTGCAATAGATCCATTTCAAAGCTCTAAGACTGTTCTGAGGTTCCTAAGAGCTTTCACTTCAATCACCTCTAAAGCTGCCCTCTACCACCCCATCCGCTAAATCTCTGGGATTGCTCAAACTGAACTTATTTGCAAACCATCGTGTAGAGGAAGTCTCGTTCTTTCGAATGAGCCTAATTGCAGGCTCAAATATTGACTACAGGCCGAGTTACAAGCCTGCAAAGCGGTACAAGTCAGTGGTGAGGTGCAGGTGGGGTCATGTGCAAGCACTGCCAAGGGCCATTTTCAGCCAAGAAAATCATCAGCACATGTCCGATGCATAGAGGATGGCAAAGAGCATCTATTTTATCGAGACGGCTTTGTTGGGATGTCTTGAACAGGTTTCCGTGTGAAGAAATTTGGCTTGAAGCAGGGAATTAGAAGTTATTTTTTGAAAAAACTAAAATAAAACTCAAGCTTGCGTTTTTTGGGGAAGCAATCATAACCAGAGCGTAGTTCTTGACGAGCTCTGTATAGTAGTATGCTTACCCGTCCGGATAACTTGTGTTTCCGCTTTAAAATAGGACTCAAAAGAAAATTTTTGCGTTCGAAGAATTATTGTCCGCGACATTGTGACGCGGCCATTTTCGGACTTTTTTTAGAAAAAGATTCTTAAAATTTTTAGAACACATGTTTCTCAAAAAACTCAAAGTGTGGATTGTAGATCTTGAAGAGCTCTATCACCTCATGCAATTATTACATTTTTCATCCTTGTCCTTCTGAAAAAGAGCGATGAAAATGGGAGGGAGGCTTGTCCGCAATTTTTTGGCGGTCACTGTATGTGCAGTTTATCTGGGCCGGTAGTAATCCCCCCGACCTGGCGGCAGGTCTCGTCGGCAGGTTGCTGGCACCTTTCCGCGAGGTGGCCAGAAACTAAGAACCGAAATTTAGGCCGTCCCAGGCCTTTTTCCAAGAAATTTTCTCGATAAAGTTGCTGCCTTGACTCTGTAGAAAACTTCATAAAAATTTGCGGCTCCAGAACTCCTCCTTTAGTAAAATATCTGGAATTCCAGGAGGAGCTGCCGGCAACTTCGCGATGTCAGTTGCCTGCAACCTGCCGGCAGGTTGCCGGAATCCGCGAGATGGCAGCTGCCGGCAGGTCAGAGAGCACGGGAAATAGCGTGCTCTTTTGAGAGAGCGAGCTGCCGGCACCTCGACGTGCCCCTACCACGTCGAGATGGTGGCACCTTTGCCGACGGCGTCTGCGAGTTTGCGAATTGCGGCGATATCACACAATTTACGTCAGGCGAAAACATCAAAAATTCTACTTTTCATCAAAAAACTATCATTTTACTCATTATACGAGTTTTTCTTTTTTAGAACGACGATTTTCTTACAGTGAAAAAATCCAGTAATGCCTTAGAATCATAAAGAAACATCATCTTTTTTGGAAATCCCTTATAAATCTCGTTTGCACAGATTTCGCCGCTCTCTCGCTCATATCAATCAGCTGTTCTTTCAGGTCAAAGTCTCTCACGCAATGTATCGATCCCTCTTACAGGCAGCCATTTACCAGCGCGTTCCTCCTATTGCTGGTGCAAAGGTCAATGGCTGACCGAATGGTCGAATGGTTAACGTGGTGGCACTTCAAGTTAACACGCATAGGTTCGACCGCGCGCGAGGCAGCAGTTTTGCGGCTGTCTGCGTCATCAAAACTTAATGTGCGAAATGAGTGCGTGCTAAGGTTACATAAGATTATTAAAACCTACAATCACTGCTGCCGGCGGAGTTGGCATCTTTCCGCGATGTGTGCCAACTTGCCGGCATCTTTGATGCCACCAGGTAGGGTAGATTACTACCGGCCCTGGACTCGTCGTTTGAAGTACTCAAAAAAGAGTGCAGACGATTTTCAGAGGTTCACAGTTTCTCAGGTTAAACACCATGTAAAATTTGTAGATGAGAAGCTAGAAAAATGTTAAAAGTGTCAAAACTGCCTTGTCTTTTGCCTTTAAAAAATATATCGTTTTGGAGATGAGCATGTTACTACATTCCACGAGTGATGTCTTGTTTTTATTCTCCTTCATTGAAGTCAAACAATATTTTCTTTCAAAATTATCGGATGAACAGGAAGATGTAGCTTTTGCGATAGCTTTCAGTTCATCCAAAAAATTTCATAATCAAATGGAACATAAAGCAAAGATTTTTCAATAGAAACCAATTTTTGCAATTGTTCTGATCATATCATATAAGAAAATATCACTTCAGACTTGTCAACGTAATTCGTGGATGTGATGGACATCAGTCAGAGACAAGGGGGGCTATAGTAGAAAGTGCTAAATTTCTTGTTCTGCTAACATCGGTACACCTCGACGATTCATTTAGTTCGGCGAAATATGGAGGAACAAAAGAATGCACTTCGTCCCTTTACGAAATTGTCTGTCTGTTGCCGTTTAAACCGCACAATGCAAATTTCGGTAAAGCAAACCTATGAGCGTATTAGGTTAGCCAAGACTTAGTGCAGGCGCTAGTCTATTGCAGTATAATAAACCATATTCTGGGAACATGTCCTAAAATTTTTTTGAGATTGACATAGGGCAAGATAATGGGTGAGTCGTAAAATAATAAGGCAGAGTCTTAGTTAGAATGTAATGGAGTATATCTGAAAATATACCTACTCAGGACAAGATGGCCAATCCGGGTAGTAGTTAACCTCCTCTATATTTGTGTATCGAAATCCAGCATTTATATTTGCAGTCGAGTCATATTCCTCGTACGGTACAGAGAATCTGAATTGCTTATTTTTGCACGTATAAGTACTATCTAAGACAAGTGCTTACGTGTACGCTGGAATGCCATGAACAACCGTTTTACCAAGATATGTCTTCGTAAACGATCGGCACATGAACGATTGGAAAAAATCGAGCCTATCGTCTTCATTCAAATGCATTTTGCAAAAACTGGCAGAGTCTGAGAAAGTTAATTACATCAATGTTATGCAGTAAAAATAAACTGCGCCTACCTGAACCTCGTATGCTCCTTGCGTAAGGTGTTGACCACCAATAATCTGGTAGCGAGCTTACATTTGCCCATGTTACTATTTCACCTAATCGGTCGATATCTGTCTTACCAGTTCTCACCCAGTAATCCTCATCTTTGCTATTGTTGTACTGTAAAAAGTGACGGTAATCTTGGTCCAAATTGTAAAGTCGAGTATGCTGACCCCTTGGAAGAAACCCAGTAGCGGCATCGGTGGCACGGGAATCGGTATGATACTCACACCTCCGTTAAGCGCGTCACTCAAAACCCTGATTATCTATAAATAAAATTTTTCGAAACTGAGATGATCACCGAGAAACAATCAGGAAAGAGGGCTTTTTTTTCTCTTCAGAGGGCTGGCCAACTCGGCGCCATCAATTTAATGAAAGTCAGTCACCTGTCACTTTCCCCCTCCTCCCTCCTCCTTCCCGCTTCCCTGGCCATCATTGTTACGAAAGCCGGGAACATAGGAACATGCAGCTTCTCACACATACTTTCCTTTTTCTATAACTCCTTATTTCTTAGGCATGCTCAACAATGCCTGTTATCTCTTATGCAGAGGTAAAATAATATGCTTTCGGTAGAAACATGACTATAGAAAAATTGTGCCAAAGTGAACAAATGGTTTGCCTACAACAAAGACAATGTAATACGCACTAAATTTGGTGTGTATATGCGAGATGAGAAGAGTTGAAAAATGTACGAAAACTAGAGTTGTGTGAATCAAAAACTTGCCAAAATTTTTTGCAAAAGTTGATGACCTGGGATCACTTGGCAAGCCACCTGAGGAGTCATGAAAAACAAAGCCATTCCTCTTTCGTCACATTTTGCTCTTCCCAGTCACGCTGCGCTGACGCACTGACTGCACTGACGAGGTGCCCTATATGCCCTCACCCCCCCCCCCCCCAACAAAGGCAGTCGCCTAACCAAGCTCCTATTAGGCCAACCACGCCGGTACCCCTGCGCATTTGCACTGGCGTCCTTTAAGGTGCAGGGAAAGGTCTATCATAGAGTTGGAGTCCTATAAGATTTTAACTTCGTCTTTTTCACAGCCTTCACGCGCCACTGTACTAATTAATAGATTTTGGAATGGATAAAAAAAGGACATGCTTCAAAAAAACACGATATCCGTCAAAAGATCTTCGGTTCTAGAAGTGCCTACAGTGCCGGACTTCTTCTCATGTGTTATCCACTCAATACGTTTCCGGTAAATGCTCGCGATTGAGTCCATTCGTAAATAAAATTTGGGTATTTTGTGCCTAAACAAACATCTCTTCAACTGCTTTTAGAGCTAAAGGCTCTTAATTTCATTGTTCGCCATCGATTCAGTAAGAGAGAGATTTTCAGGATATGGTGCTATATCTAGATGGCTCCAGCCTTCGGAGAGACTTTTCATATGGTTTTCGAAGCCTCGAAATAAGCTGTTTCATATGGCATACCGACTTCATCTGATGCCTTCTCCAAACTAACTTGGTCGGGAATGATGAAGTGAAGTGACTGAGGTGCCTGACTATTGAACCTAAAACAGGATATACTTCGTGGCAATCCTTTCCAAAGCTCGAGATTATCTTGAGCAGAAGGTTATGGACAATTTCTCACCGATTAGAGGAATTAATTTACAGCGAAGTCGTCCCATAACCTGTTTGATGAGATGTTATCTACGTGCGATCTCTTTAATTCAGGATTTCGAAAGGGCGGCTTACAAAACTTTAAATTCTGATTTGGCTTATGTACTTATGTCAGACGCTCGCTTATGCTTAAGATGTTAGCCAAATCAAACTTCGGTATACATGACATTTCGTCTCAGAGAAGGCCTTAAATGTGTTGTTGTTTTTTTGGTTCAATACTTTCTAACCGAGCGTTCGACTACTAGATACACAGGGTGCTATGTACTGTTAGTTTCACAGGAGGAACTAGGAAAAACGTTCCGAGTTTTCATCTCCTACATACAACAATAGTAGCTTTGCAATGGTGTAGATATACTCATTGTCAGAACCTTTCAGGTGTGTTAGTTGGGTTTTCAAAGCTTACGACGAGTCACCAGCACGGCTTGTCTCGTATATGCTATGTAATAAAAGACTGCCCCTGTTCAGTTGCTTTGTATGACACATCCACAACAGATATGTATTTGAGAACCTTAATCTTATATATAAAGCTGAATGTCTGTTTGTATGTATGTCTGTCTGTCTGTATGTCTGTCTGTCTGTGTGTACGTATGTTCCGAATAGAAAATTCCATTTCTGAACCGATCCGGACCAAACTTGGCACACATACACATCGGGCCCCGGCGGGTGTCATAGGCTACTTTTCGTCATCGATCGATATCGATTTTATCGATTTTTATCGATTTTTTTGCTGAGTTCACCTACGGGGCTGGGAGTTGGCACAGGGGGGTAATCGAGCATGGGGATTCCGAATACAATATTGATTTCTAGGATTATCGATTACTTTTATCGATTTTATCGATTTTTTTGCAAAGTTTGAGCTACGGGGCTGGGAGTTGGCACAGGGGGGTAATCGAGCATGGGGATTCCGAATACAATATTGGTTTTCAGGATTATCGATTACTTTTATCGATTTTATCGATTTTTTTGCAAAGTTTGAGCTAGGGGGCTGGGAGTTGGCACAGGGGGGTAATCGAGCATGCTGATCATCCCCAAGGGGGGTGATCAGCATGCTCGAACACCCCTGTGCCTAATTCCAGCCCCCTAGCTCAAATTTTCAAAAAATCGATAAAATCGATAAAAGTAATGGACGATCTTGAAAAGTAATATTGTATTCGTAATCTGCATGCTCGATTACCCTCTGTGCAAACTCCCAGCCCCACAGGTCAAACTTTGCAAAAAAATCGATAAAATCGATAAAAGTAATGGACGATCCTGAAAACTAATATTGTATTCGGAATCCCCATGCTTACTTCCCCCCTGTGCCAACTCCTAGCCCTGTAGGTGAACTCTGCCAAAAATCGATAAAATCGATAAAAGTAATGGACGATCCTGAAAACTAATGTTGTATTCGGAATCCCCATGCTCACTTCCCCCCCCTGTGCCAACTCCTAGCCCTGTAGGTGAACTCTGCAAAAAAATCGATAAAAATCGGTAAAATCGACATCGATCGATAACGAAAAGTGGACTGTGACACCCGCCGGGGCCCGAAGTGTATGTGTGCCAAGTTTGGTCCGGATACGGCGGAGCCGGGTAAGCCAGCTAGTACAACTAATAATAGCTTTCAAAGTCATGTCTATAAGACCTTTTTGAGCGACATATGGGAATATTTTTCGACTCGAACAACTTTCATGAGCTTTTTCATCAAAATCCATCACTTGGTACGATGGTTTATGAACGCCGTGAAAAAAGACGAAGTTAAAAATTTGAAGGACGTCAGTGCAAATGCGCACGAGTCCCGGTGCGATTGGGCTATAGGACCTTGATTACGGTGGCTGCCTCTGTTGGAGGGGGACATGTAGGGCACCTCTGCACGGACAGCAACCAGCAGACACTGCATCCGCTGCAGTCCTAGCGCTGCAGCTAAAAAAGAACATTAACTGCAGTCACGTCTGAACATCACAGTATACGCCTAAGAAATCTTTAATTATACCGATTTTAGCTGAATGATTAGCTTGTTCTTTATTATGCTCGTTTTGGTTTTACTTGTGTTGAGTTTCTTTTAGATTTGTTCGAGTTCTACTTTCAGGGTAAATGGTACCTGCTTCAAACTTTCCATTAAACACAAGATAATAGAAAGATGTCAGTCGCTGACTACTGCTGCAAGAGAAGTGCAATTCCTCACACTCTCACAGCTCCAATAATTAACACAAAGAAACCTGACAGAGAAATCTAGTATTAGAACATGCGCTCGAAAGCATCGAACAAGTACACCACATAAATTGAAAAAAAGCGAGAACCGTGACCTAAATAGGCGTAGTAATGAGCATACAAGGCTAACATTCACTGCTCAACAAAAATAAGAGGATTTAACATTTGATTTTGTATTTATGCATTTGATTTTTTTTGACTGAATTGCTGCCACTGTTCCTTTTTACTGGCTGCAGTTGCTACTGCAACAGCGGCCAGTGCAGTCATTGCGGCTTAGTGCGGCGGTATAAAAAACTTTACATCTAAAACAAAGCGAGTTCTAATGCTAGCATTCTGTGGGTACTTTTGTATATTCAATGAAGTTTTTAAACTGCTAAGTTTAAAAACTGCTAAAGCATTATGCACTTACTTTAGAGTGGCCAACTGTAAGCAGACCGTCATTGTATCCGTCAAACAGAACTTCTTTGACGGTGTGGGAGCTACAACATAGTAAGTGTAAGCAAGGACCTAATGAAATTACAAAAAGCTTTGGATGTTTATAAACATCGATGGAGAGACTAAGGAGATGCATGTAAGTTTTGATGACCTTAATTGAATGTATAGATTTATAGTAGACATTCTGTTGTAAGTATTGAGGAGAGAGAGCTCTTGATCAGTAGTTTATTGGCAATGGCAACGTTTCGATTTTTAAAAAGACATTTTGTTGTCCATTCTATGTACGATATGAAGAACACGACAGAGAAGATTCTTTGTTTTACTTATGTAAGAGAATCGAATGTTGTTTGGATGAGTTTGCAAAATGCTGAACTTACACGAAGGGATAATCACCAACGAGCAACAGACCAAAACCCAGAATTTTTCGTCCAATCGGAGTGATGTCATATCGAGGATCGTAAATGTTGGCTGCAGCACCCTGTTAAGCAGTAAATTTAGGTGAATCTGTTCATCATTCTTCACAGATTCACTCAAAGCGTAGGAACTATCATAAAAAAAATGCCGTAGACTTTTTATGGTTTAATTCAAGCGTGAAAAAACAACGAAAAACTTACGACTCCCGTCGGGTTTGGAAAAGTCACGATATCGTCCCAGGAACACTCTGGACAGGTATGTTCTTTGCTGATTATATATCTCTTGTAATTCTCGTAATATAATTGTTCCCCATCCTCGCTGAATTCCATAAACCTTTTTTGCTCCGACTGGCTAAATTGTTAAAGTTGATTTGTCGAAAGAAACTTCGGTAGTCCTTTTTCTATTCTATGTATTTTTCTTGGCAAATGTCAGGACATGTCACTCGTTCTTTTTTACGGAAGCACTATAGCTAAGAATTAGGAATTTTTGGACAGCGTATCGACGCAGATAATACTTTAATCACTCTTTAGACCTTTCTAAGCTTCTAAGACCTTCCGCAGCTACCCTGTTCATTATGCCAATATACAAAAGTGCACTTGTACCAGATCGTACCACATAGAAAACGCCTTTGCTGATAAGCAATCTATGCGTCCATCTTAGTGTCAATAGTTGTAGCATAAAAAGTTAGATAAAGAATTAGAAGGTCTGTAAATTATATCGCGTGATACTCCTTTTTCAAAACTTACATAACAGCGTAAGCCTTTGTTTCTATGAGACGTGGCTGGGCGCCTTCGTACACCATTTCGTCTTGGTTTGTTATGTTGAAGAAGTAAAATTTCATGACGTTCTTCATTGGTGGATTGGACATTTGATAAGCTGAATAGCCTAAGCTTCCATCGTAATTCTGAGTAAATTTTAGATTCTGTAAAATTTAGCGTTCTTACTCGGTTCAAGAAAGTCATTGCATCTTACCTCAACGACTTGTTTTGGGTAGAGTACAGGAAACACGCAAAAGGTCACGATTGAAACAATCAAACATGCTACGCCTATTATAATAGTCGCTATCTCGCACTTATTAAATGAGATCCCGTTGCACAACATATCTGAGAAGCAATCAACATCAAAATATCAGAACATGAAAGGATGGACATTTTGATATTCAGTACCTAAGGTGGTAAAGAAAGAATGAGAAAGGATGAGAAAATCTTGTACAGGACATTGCTACAACTAACCCTTATCAGTAAATAACTATGCAGTGGAAAGCTGACATTGCTAGCTGACATCACCATATAGCTATCATATCGACGGTTGCTTTTTTGTGAGAAACGAGACAGAAATTTGCGAAAAAAATTGTGCTTTGTTTCCACACGTTAACTCTACAACGTTGAGCATTCTCGGTGCAAGTTGTAAGCATTTTTTGGTCCTCAAGGAGTCATGTTATTTGAGGCATTCCGGAGTGTACGCGAGACCCTTCGCTGTGCTGGCCTTCAAAATATAAAAAGCATGCAAGCAAGTTGCCAGATACCTGTGATCTGTTAAGTTGGAGAGAGGTGTTGCTTATTTAATTGTTATGGCACTCCAAGTTGTGCCACGAAAATGTATGAGGGACACTATTCGATATTCTATAAAACAAATCAAGCTTTACAAGATGGCAACCATAATTGCACCATCTTTGATCCACCCAAAATTTGAAGCCAAATTCTTGATCACTCTAAATGCCCAAAAAACGGAAGTTCCATGTAAAATTTTAAAAACACTTGTTCCTCCGCTAGTAATTGTGCCTCTTCTCTGTAGTTAGACTTATGATAATCATTGTACTTCCATATTCAGATGCTCATTGCGGAGACCGCGACGGCAGCGGTTGATGAGGACCATGCTATTTACGATGTAATCTCGGCGCGTTTGCTGCTAAAGCATTGAAGTAAACTAGTTAAGGTTAGATATTCAATCGTGTACGTAGGAAGCAAGTGTGGATTTCTTTGAGTCTTCTGAGAACATTATTATCCTATTGATTCGAACAAATATATTAGCAAACCTGCTTAGCTTACAGCAAAGTCTATGAAGACATATTACAAGGGAAGCTGACCTAACTTAGCTCGGCCTTTTGGCAAGGGACATATACAGGGTGTTCCTGGGACGATATCGTGACTTTTCCAAACCCGACGGGAGTCGTAAGTTTTTCGTTGTTTTTTCACGCTTGAATTAACCATAAAAAGTCTACGGCATTTTTTTTATGATAGTTCCTACGCTTTTGAGTGAATCTGTTCACTGTAAATATCGAATACACTTTTCCTAGTCATGTGGTTCAAGCTAAAATTCAAATTTCTCGAGAACTGAAGCTTGTAGAGAGCTGGAAATTTACGTTTGTACTTCTACAGGTAAAGTAGTATACAACTACTTATGTGGGAACGGCACAGGATCACTTTGGCAGAAACATGAAAATCTTCGTTTTCTTGGTTTCTAACCGAGAAAAAAATACGGCAACGGCGTACATAGATGTCTTATGTGGATAGTGTTTACGTGAGCGAATTAGAATTTTTGTAGGATTTTTATGAACTGAGTTACGATTTTTCTCGATTTTTTGTGTAGTTGAATCTTTTTAGTTTTTGGCTCGAAACTCGTGGTGGAATAGAGCTGTTACAAAATCAAGACTGCCATCTTGTAGAGATTGCTTTGCTCTATCGAATGATTTATTGCATCCTACTTAGAAATGAGAAGTGTATGACTTATTGCGGTTGGAATTCAAAACCTGCATTAATTTCCGGACAACCTAATAGTAAAGTCAGCACGCTTGAAAATCTTGTTACAAAATTCTCTAAATTTTTTCGGAGTTACTCCATCAAAAGGCTTATTCCACAGTGACGCTGTATGCTGAGAGTTCTTACCGTGATCCTACAGTAACGAAGAGTGATTGGTGGTTCGCTCCATACTGTAAATCTAAGTTTATCCTCGCTCTACAGAATGGTACCTCAAGCTCGGCAAAAGACATGAAAGCAAGAGAGTTATTAACGATCAAACAGTGTGCACATCTTTTTGGGACACCCTGTATAGTCTGAATCAACTTCAAACGCTGATTCCAAATATGCTATATCTAGCTGACACGCACCATTCCGAAGCGAGTTATGGCCTTTTTCCAGCGCAAAACTGGCATGCTCATTGACTCACGGGCATCAAGTCATCATCATTTAAGTGCTGATACACCTGCGTTAAGCTATTTTAGTGAAAAAAGATTGGATTTGTACTATTTCGATACCTCAGCACCTTATTTTTTCAGATTTTTATCTACAGGCAGTCTTCTCATGTTCAGCAATATGCCAATTTTGCGTAGAAAAAAGCCCATAACTCGCTTCGAAATGGTGCGTGGCAGCTGAGAATAGCATATTTGGAATCAGCGTTTGAGGCTGATTTAGAATATATATGCCTTCTACCAAAAGGCCGAGCTAAGTTAGGTAGCTATTAGAAATTTCCTTATTCGAATCTATGATTAGAAACATTTGACAAAGCATTTTTTCAATTTTTGGAGTAGCTGGGACAATATGCGAATAAATTTGCAACTACACAAAGAGCTTGCTCGAGTGTTGCCTTTGCGCCAGCGCAATGCTAGCGAAGTTTACATTACTGCGGCGTAAAAAATGCTGCATATTTGACCACTAATTGTGATCATAATGTTCATAAAAGCGAACATAAACATACGGATAGGACGATTGTGTGTCACACTTCTCTAAAATGGCAGTTGATTCAGCACAGATTGATCGGTTACAGGTACAGTCTGCCTCAATCGGGATCAGGCCGAACCGTCGGCATACGCGCGCTGTCGCAGAGAGCGAAGAGATTGAGGAGAGAGCAGACTAGCTAGACGCAGAAGTGGCGCGAAACCCGCGCGACGCGCACTCCCGCCAAGCCAATTTTGGCCTGGTTAGGATTGGGGCAGACTGTATACCAGTGGCGGGCCGAGGGGGGGGGGGCGCTCCCCCCCCCCCCCCGAGAATGGGTCGAGAGATTTTTCAAATCTACATGGGCTATGAAAATGTGCAAGTGACTTGTTTATTCTTGTAAATAATTGAAATAATTTTTAAAATTTTTTAAACAAATTAGCCTTGCAGGCTGACGCCACGCTCCTTTTTCAAAATCTTAGGGGTTATGGAGCCGCAAAAATTTTGAGAAGCACCCCAAAAAATTTTTCGTAGTGCGTGGCTACACGCACCTTCATTTGAGAAAAATTTTTGCCGCCCCCCCCCATCCTCCCGGTTTTCGAAACCCTCTCAGGGACTCGCACCGTGCGGGCGGCCAGCGACGAACTTACAATCGCTCGTTGGTGCGTGCGATTGTACGGTCGTCAAGGGCCGTTAGCACGGTTAACGTGGGGCGCCCGCAAGGTTTCTAATGCTCGCCGCTTGCGCGAGGAAGGTCGGCCGCTCGCTTGCTGCTGTTGTAGGTTTATATGGGGTATTTTGACCATTTTGCTTGGGTATGTTAATCATTTCCACATTCTGGGAACATGGATCAATGCCTGCAGCACTACCCAGACTTTTCATGGAAGGGCCCACATCATCACTCTTGATAACTGTAGCCTCACAAAGGTTCATTCCAGCTTTGCGGGTGAGGAAACGTTGATAGCAAAATATGTCGACGCTTAGCCAGCCTAAACGCTGCGTCGTATCTCACGCAGGTACCGTTTACGCTCACAATGTGTGAAAATAGTGAGCAGAAAATAGAGGTCACTGTTGACCGCTTGCACGGCAACATGTATTGCCGACCGATAAGACGGACGCATTGCTGGCCGCTCGCTCGAGCAATCGTATTGCAGGCCGTTTGCACGGTAACATTGCTTGCCGCTAGGACGACACTTCAGCTGTTTGCCGCACGCACGGAAGCTTTAGGCTTATGTCGACCGCTTGTACGCGAGCCCTTATAGGAGGACCGCTCGCACGGCGCGAATCCCTGAGCTGGGACCGCCACTGGGTAATACTACTGTGAAACTTCGCGATGAAATAATATTTTATTTCGTCAAGTGAGAAATAGACTTTCTATCTATTCTGCTAACAAACATCAAAAAACAAGAACATGGGCGGCTTTGAGCTGGAGTGACGTGACTGGTAGATTTTCAGCATCACGCGCACTGAATCACAGAGCAAATAGTGTTGCAGCTAAGCCAGTTGTAAATTTTTATGGTTACAAAGCGAGATAGCAGTTGGAGAAAGGAATGATAATGATGCTCAAGCTATATATGTTCTCTGCTCGCAAGGTTCGGACTTTCTGTGATAATTATGTTTTTGAGCCAACAGCAACTCGGACACATTGCAGCTTTTGTAGATTACAAACTATAATTTGCTTAGAATGCTTGAGATAAAATGAAGTGATAAAGCGAAGATTATATTATCAGTGTTACCTCTTTACACAGGTTACTCGAAATATATTGTGCAAACTGGCAAATTCACCGAAACCTCATATTCTCGCAGACAGGGAAAATTGAAAAATGTAAGAGGCAGCGAAGCGCCGAGTATCAGTCGAACCTGCCGTGTGGAGGCAGTGAGCGGTTGATATTGAGTGCAGCAGTTCAAGCAATTTATCTCATTCGTCTTCCTCCTCCTTTCCATAAGCAGTCGAACTACCGCCAACCTTCAACATTCTTTTTAGACTTACCTAGTGACTGGAACAACGCACAGTAGTGAGGGCACTCATTAACGACAAAGAACTAATGAAGAAGCGTTCTTCCGGGAAGCAGCTATGGTTCGAGTATGGTGAGCATGTCATAACGGAAACTTCTTGTAAGCGTTTAGGCCATGATTTGTGGCTACTGGCATAGGGGCAAACTGGATATCTTTTCCGAGGAATTAAACAAAGAGGATATGTTTCACCGTGTCTGAAGTGGAGCATCAGAGATATTTGCAGAGATATGCATCGGCACTGGATCTTACAAGCTGCAACTTCAGTTGAGCCTATAGTTCATTGGATGAAACGTGCACAAAATTCGTGTCATTTTCAAGCTCTTCTGTGGGAAAGGAGACCTAGTTCTAACCGCTTTTCGAGAGTATCAAAGAATGAATAAGACGATTCTCCAAATTTTGCAACTTAGAATGCGGACGTTCTGAGCTAAACCGCCTGTATTTAAGCTCCGCCTTGAATAAGTTTGTTTCATTTTCAGATTTGCTTCACACTCATTCAAACGCCTTCTACAGTAACAAGTATATCTGCTGTGACAACAACAAGACGGAAAGCTTCTGCCAATGGAATCGTTTCAGATTGCAATATTAGACAGAAATATAAAACATGGCTATGAAAGAAGTGGATAAAACGCCTGGAGCTGAGACAGCGTTTACGGATGCTGATCGAGCTTGTCCAAAAGACCTGCATTCGGCTAGAGAAAAAGCAAGCAAGGATATCAAAGCTCTAGGAGAGGTAGAAATTTGGCGAATCAAAGATGGATGTTTAGAAGCATAACGCCTGTTCAATTTTTCCTTTAGGGAGAAGTTATTGGAAATTGGAAAGTTGTTCGACCAATCGAACCAGAACGTTGCTTTAACACGATCTATGTAGTGCAACATGCGAAAAAAGGCTATCTTGCAGCACTTAAGGTAATAATTTGTGACGTTTGTGAGCAGTTTCAGAAGAAATGACAAACAGCCATTCCACATCGAAAGCCACCAAAAATTGCACTTTACTACAGGAGACTATTCTTACTTTGACAGAACACTAGCCAGTCGTTTTCTAAGCCCTTTAAAATCAAAGTGGATTCTTTGAAGTTGTGTAAAAGCACTCATATAACGTGCACGCAACAAGTCTACCTCCCCATATCTGCTAAAACGAAAGTGCAGGTCGCACGCGGTTCTGTACGGAAATGTCGTACTATCATCACGGTTGTGCATGGACTTATTTCCCTAATGAATCGATAATACAGGTAAAGGTGAGAATCTGACCTACGTTAGAGATTGGAAAGAAACGCTGCTGCTTATGCCAAGAACTAGATAAGATGGGGAACACGTGATGTGCTTCGCTGTAAATGGACTACAGTGTATCGCATTCCGGATGGCCAAAATTGGAATGATGCGCATGTGCATAGACGCGATTCTGCGTCACGTCTACGGCTTGCTTGCTGCTATCTCTTCAAACATTTCTCTCTCTGTCAATGCGCATCCCAGCACTAACTCCTAGCGCTGCGAGCGCGAATATTCACGCCAACGTTTCGGCTTGAGACAAACTGTACAGCTGCAGCGAACTGGATACTACCGCATGATAAGCGCAGAACACGAAGACGAAATATTCTGGTGAATTTCTTCATGGTTCATAGGGTTTCGACTGTGATACGAAAACACTGGTCAATAATCACCCGCGATAAAAACGATAGGGACCCAATTCTAATCACTCGTGCAGCACGACGGACAAGGAAGATACAGTTGATCCAGATGCTAATCCTCTTCCAACCAGAATAGAACCGATGTTCTTTATGTCAGCTACATTTACATTGCTCTTTTCAAGGGTTCAGACTATTCTGGAAGTGAAACAGAATAAAAAAAGAATGGCGCCACCTTTGCGGACTACCTGCCTTTACATGTTTTACATTACCACATGCAAAAAATCAGTAGTACAACAACAACTGGATATGAAGAAGTACTGATACTAGATCGTAATACATACATACATACATTTATTCATCCTCAGCGGTTATATGCATTGAATACCGCGATGATATCTTACCTGGCTTGAGTGCATCTTCGATTCCGATTGTCTTCGATGACAAGAATCTTCTTGCTTGTACCAGCCGGCGCATTCTTGTGACATCGCGATCTTGGTCCATGACTTCTTGACCAAGTGGACGCAGTGGACCAGCCACGGTTTCCTCCACCTTGTCTTCTTGATCCTATCCTTGGTGGACGGTATAGATCAGAGCTAAAGCTAGCCGACCGTTTGCGGGAAGGATGAGGAGGGAAGTACTAGATCGTAACACTGGGCTTAAAGGCGGTGTCCGGGCAAAAACTCGATTTCGAGATTTTGTGCCTGCCCGTGCCTATTCGCTACGCTGAATGCGAAAATGCACATTGGAGAGCGCGAAAACGGCGAAAAACGGCTCTAACGCAGAAGGAATCAGCAGGTGATCGGGGTCCTCCCCACTGCGATTTCATGCTTTCAGCTTCCGGAGCGATCTTCTCGCTTCCGGTTTCATGTCAGTTATTCGCACTTGGCTGGTAACGATGTTAGAACGGCTAGCGGAATCGAGAAGTCCGCTTCAGAAGCTGGGAGTGTGAATTCACAAGGGGGAGGACCCCGCTCACTTGCTATGTCTCTAATGCGCTAAAGCGCTTTTTTGCCGTTTTCGCGCTTTCCAGTGTGAATTTTCGGATGCAGCATAGCGAATAGGCCCGTATAAGCACAAAATCTCAAAATCGAGTTATTTTCCGGACACTGCCTTTAACACCATATTTTGCTTTGGAGGCTGATTAAGTTCAATTGGCCTTGCATTCTGTGGTGACAGTGGCTATGTCAATCACACTGTGCTTACTCTCCGCTGCAGAAGCAGACTGAATGGATGCATCTTCAGTTTGTTTCGATATCGAATCCCTTGTTCACATCGTTGCACAGCTGGCAAAGCTTAATATAATTAGGCTATCAATTCTTGCTCCGATAGCCTATGTGCAACCACATAAAAACCACAGATATTCCAAACTGTTTCCATATTTTGAGCAAGTATGCAAGTATCCATTCTACCAAATCAGTTCAGTTGCAGATGTTTTTTTTTAGATGGAAAAGAAAAATCCACCAGTACCTATGCTGAAATTTGAGCTTTTTATCTTGCTACACATGGAACAGAAGTCAAAAACAAAGCATTTTTGCAGGTATCTTGTCGTATTCTTTCAGCAGAAGATTTGGAAATCTATAAATTCAGAGTGTTTGATCGAGGATCGGAACCCGAATACAATTGGATAGTGATTACTTTAGCAGGAAGAAACTTTAGAGTATTCATATTAGAGCAACTATTACTAAGTATTCAGCTCTGTCACGCATTTACAGTTCATTCGCAAAGCTTGCAAAGATGGTAAGGTATCATTGGCTAGCGGTTTGAGTGTTGGAATCCAAAGCTTGAAAGCGATAGAAGAATTACACAAAGTAAGCGATACCTCGAAAAGGCAGTTATCACTCAAGATTTCGCTGGCCACGAATGCACTGTCAGAAAAAGCGTCAACTTTTTCATACAATCAAAAGTATGACAACAGAAATTGCCATGTGTTACTTCAACGGTTTCTTAGCCAACGCTTCAGAGATTGATAGTGTTGAAGGCAGCGCCCAGGCGGAACCTCGACTTCTATTTTTTTGCCTTATCCAGGCCTTTTTATGGCGCTGATTCCAAATGTAGCACTTAAAACGCGTGAATTCCTCCCCCCCCCCCATTTTTGAGACAATTTTGTAAGAACCGTAGACTCAATGCTCCCAATGCTAACCTTGTCAAAAGCAAACATCAACAGGTAGATACTATCTGTTCGATTGTGTCTGCCACGTGAAAACAGTCAAGGGTTGGGGAGAGTTCGTTCAAGAGGGCGGGCGGTGCGAGGGAGTGGGCGTGGTCCCCGAGACTCAGTCTTTTCTGCTCTGATTTCCTCCTTTTTCAGTCTTCAAATGTCGGATTTGGGCCATTGTCCTCGATCGAGGCCGTGGTACTCCGTTATGATAGTACCCGAAAATATCCAAATCTGCCCGGATGCTTCCTTTAATGTTATCGGCCCTCTTTAATGATACTGTAAAATTAAGCGCATAATGTCTGCATGTGCGGAAAAAAATCAAATTGATGTAAAAATCGTGAAGTCGTGACAATGTATCCGAATACAATGGTTCCACCTATGCACATGAACGTACATGCTGCAGCTTCGCTAGGGACAATACTATAACGAACACAACGATACGTAAACACATCAATGCGCGGAGGATACGCTGCAGCTACAAAGGCCGCAAGTGCCTAAAACACAAGAACAAGGAAATCTTGATACAACATAGACAGCTCCACAACAAAATCGATAGCGCTACCAAAAAAGGTTTGGATCGAGACTGTGCCAGAATCTGGTCAGTTCGGAGGCTTACATCATCAAACCACTAGCTATGCATGGATTCTTACAATTATGCTACAGAAGAATGAGATTCACACTGATGCTAGCATCTGCTCTTTCTTACAATAGCAAAATACTAGGTGAATGCAAAAAAGTAAGCATTTTGCGAGTTCTTACTTTGACGTACTATAACTTTTTAGAAAATCTAAATTTTTGAATGCGATAAAAACCATCAGAGGCTGCAAACCTTTCGCAATACAGCCCACATTCATCTATCCTCATATCACAAAAGGGCAGAAATATGATTTTATCTGAAACCTCGTCTTCAACAAACCATGATTCCCTGCATAGTTTGTTAGTATAAATGATAAATTTCGTAGCCGCAAGCCAGTTAAAGAGGTGAAACGGGGATAAAGAAGTTTTGCGAAAAGAAAAAAAAACCTAGAACTGTCAGTTCTTCCAACATCTTTTCATATGCCTCTCCAAATAATAGAGTTTTTTGACTTTCTGCGTACTGAACTGCCGATTTTTGCAAAACTGTCAACAAAAGGGCTACCCTCAGGGCTCGACGCAGATCATCTGGAAGCAGATTGGACTTCGTTTTTGGAGCAAAAAGTAAAGGAGATGTCGTTGCGGAGTCGGGGCCGAGCACCAAGGGTAAGCGCTATTTAGTCAGATGCAAGCTTTTCGGACAGGTTATCCCACGATTTTCATGCTCTATCGTGTATGGTGAAAAGTGCGCGTAATTTGAAAGTAAGGCTAAAATATACAAATTGCTCGTTTACAGCGCATACAGAATCATATGACACCAAAATTGAACCGCATACATAGAAAATTATTTGCGGAAGAATTATGTAAAAATATTTGAAAATTAATGTGAAATACTACCTTTCATGAGATTAGTCCTTTTCCAGACGGTCACCAGACGATCTGAGATCGTCTGGAGCATATATTTCCGTCACTTCGTTGGAGATTTCTTCAGCATGAACGAATGCCCTAATCAGGAATCTATCCCTGAGCATAAAAACAGTTTCATATGGCCTCCTGTCCGCCGTTTTTCACCCATTTTTTCTCGAAAAACGGCTTATAAGATATCGCCCCCCAGCGTCAACTTTTCTGCGTCCTCTCTCTTTTAATTTGCATTTTCAGTTTCAGCTTTTTTCCCAATATTCTGCTGATTTCTTTCATTCTTCTTTCTGCTTCTCCTTCGTTCTTCTGCTCGTGACCTTCTTGATCCTTCTGTGACATGTAGGGCTTTATGAAGCAAAATTCTGTAGATTTCGTGATGTTTCTTTGAGAGTTTGACCTGAAAGCGAAATTTTCAGCTAGCAGCAAGCAAATGGTTTTGTCAAGGACAAAGTGAGTACGCGGAGATCCACCAACAGTTGGAGGGTGATGGGGGGGGGGGAGCAAGGGTCAAAGGAGACTTCGTAAAATTTTGAATGTCAGAGGGAATTCGTTTTCAAGAAGGCTAGGAACGGTAGTGCCGGACCCTCGCTACCTTACGCTTAATGAGCCACAGGATGTCCAAAACGACTACCCATTTGAGGCGCCGATATCTCAGTCTGGATAATTTTTAAGAAAATTGTAAAGTGTCCATAATTCTATAACATGGAGTAGCTGAATTTCCATAAGAAGCCTCGCAGGTCTAACAACTGTTAGAAGGACTATAAATTTTTAACTAAAAACTTTCTGTGCTTTGAACACGACAAACACTTTTTTGTTAAATCATGGACATCCATACTACCAAATCTCACTTTCAGGTTGGCTTCGTGCATCGATCACTCAATCCGTCAACATTCGCCATAGGACGAGTTATTGACGGTGATCCGAAGGATCTGCGCAATGTCAGTTGTAAGATATGACTTTCAATTCATCAACTTTATCTGTCTATCCTTTTTTTCTAAACTGCAATAAATCTAAAGTATAAACGTTTAAGGTTTACATTCTCGACTTCGGTTTCGCACATGAATATAGACATCATGATGGTAGACACAAACCTCCCCGATCTAACCCATCCAAGTACATCGGAAGCGCAAGGTGGACATACTGGTCATGAAAATATTAGTCTTGTTATGGTCTATTTACAGATATGCACCGCGAAATGCTTATTTGAACAGAGAGCTAAGTCGAATGGACGATTTGGAAATGTGGTTGTATGTAGTGGTTGAGCTGGTGAAAGGAGCTTTACCATGGGTAGCGCAAAGGGTATGTGAAGCCAGATTTCAGAAAAAATGAAAATCACAACTAATTCATGGACTTTTCGCAATCGACTCTTTTACATGATTTCCAGTTTCCGAAACGTATTTTCCTCACAGGACCTTAGCAATTTTGATTTCAGAAAGCCAAAGATATTTTCGATTACCAAAAGTCAGTGCGAACAGGATTGGGATTACGCGAATTTCTTGGAGGTAATGTAGTCGAAGCAAACCTGCTAATATCTCAGATTTTGTAAATATTTAGGTTTACCCGTCGAGTTCGTGGATATCATGAAGGAAGTGGATAAACTATCCTATTCTGATGAACCGCGTTATAACGAGATCTATGGGCTTATGAAAAATGCTATCCAAATGAGCGGGCAGCAGGTAGAGTTCCCTATATAATCACTGATGAAATGAGTAATCAGATAACCTTTGAATCATAGGAATGGCGGCTGAAAGGCGGGGCTTTGTGACCCAATGAAGTCGCTCGCATCCGCAAGCAGTCTGCGTCTCTTTCGCGCGCGTGCTCTCTGATCATTATCTAGCCTTAATCAGGTCAAGAAGTCCCGCCTTCCAGCCGCCAAGCCAGTCGAATCGAAGGGTATGTAATTCCGAGCAATGACAGCAGTCCGCAAAAAAAATTTGGACGAAAATCGATGTATTGAAAAATATGCTTAACTAATTGTTCTGATTGTCTGGAACATTGGGAAAATTTTTGAAGGAAAATCAGACACGATATATTAGATTCTTTGCTTACTTAATCATCTAAAACTCTCAAAAAATTGTCATGTATTTGAATTCCCAAGAACTCAAGGTGTGCTAAAAAGAAAAGCTTCTTGGAACTTCTTGAAAATCATTACTGTTCAGAAACGCTTCAAATCAAGATATAGTGTTCCCTTATGTATTGGTTATCGAGTATTGATCTTCCAGGAATTCCCATACGATTGGGAAGAGGGAGAGATTGAAGCTGAAAAAGCCGGAGAAGGTCCTGGTGCCCCCTTGAAAAAAGAAGAACCAGCACAAACTCCTGCAACAGCGCCAACACCGGTAACACCTACACCTGCAAAAGCTGGGAAATAGTCGAATTTCAAATCTTAATAAATTTTTGAGTCTTTCTCATGCTTTTTCCACAGCACAAACTGTTTTTCCATATAAGGAACTTCTCCTGTTTTAGATTCGACAAGCTAATTTGGTGTATTCAACAGGCTAGACAGAGTTTTCAAAGGGATACATTAGTCATTGTTGAAGGGCGGCTCGTCTTCAACGTCATCACATCAGTTAATTACTAGCCCGATGGGAAATAACATAGCATCCTACTTGGATGCATACACACCTATTATCGCCATTTCTGTAACGGTCTATCTATACCTATAGCCTAGTCTTATACCTATACTTTTTTTCAAAAAAAAACACTCATCATCTGCTTTGCAATCCAATTCTCTCTATAGGCTGACTGCAAATTCTTCACAAGAATTATTCTGTTTAATTCTATGATATCTTGTAAAAACAACCATTCAAAAAATGCATATTAGTAGTAAACTTGTCGGAAAAATTTATAAAAACAAACAGCCAGGAATTTTCTTGACATAGGTGGTCAATGGCGTTTGATTGTTTGTCTGAGCACTATGTAATCAGTTTTGGATAAAAATAATGACGTTTTTCATTCCCAATTTTATTATCATTAAAAGTTTAAAATGCCTATTCTGAGCTACTCTGCTGGCTTAAAATTGCTTGCCAAGGATGCCATCACTATAGCGATAGCGCACGTTTTGAAAAAATTGGTTGAAACGATAAATTTTGTAGGAATCTGTCATAAGCCATTTGTAGCTTATATGAACTGTTACAAAACTCGCTGTCGGCAACCGGAGATAGTAAAGAATTTGGAAAATCAAAACTGTGGATACAAAATATTTTCACTCTCAATTCAGGACATGAATCTGATTTTTGAGAAGGAAATTTAGCGTCAAAACATGAAAGTTAAGAACAATGTCACTGACGGCCTGTTTTTAGAATTTAAATAGTCACTTTATCCCTCATACTCCAGCTTCACATCAACGAGTTTTGGAGCACAAATTTAAGTCAAGGATATAAAATCAGCTAATTTTTATGTATAACAAAGCTCTCATTTTCTATTCATACTACACAGTGGGCCTGCTGAAAACATAGTAATTTTCATGATTACATACTAAAAAAATACTATGATTAAAGGTGTTGCGCACACGTGACTTACGCTTTATGACAACAGTTAGATTTTCTCATCACAAAAAATTTTATATAGAACATGGAAGAAAGCCAAATAAATCAATATCTGAATTGGGGTTCTCTCCTATCCAAATTTGCAATCTGTAGGATTTGCTAGATTTCGCTAAGAGTGTTTTTGATAACCTGAAAATATAGCCCAAAATTACCCTAAAAAGCAATCAGTGAAAAGCCTACGAGCTGATACGCAATCGCACATATTACTAGTAATACAGCAATCCTAACTACTACATATTTCTATCTAATGATCCAAATGCCAAAGAACAAAGTTTGACACTTCCTTCTAAAGGACCACCCACATGACTAATCTGTTGCTTTGTGACGTAGTTGACATTGTCAAGAATTTACTCTAATCTTCGCACTCATTGTAGTGTAAAACAAACAAGAAAATAATCAACATGAACTTAGTCATTATGTACGCCTATTCTCACAGCATAGGAACTTTTTCTCCAGTACCTTTGAAAGGTGACAGATACGTATGGTTGAACAGCACTAAACAATAGCGCAGAAAATTCGATTTCGTTAGTCACGTCAACGTAAATTCTGTGAAATATTGGTTTTTGCTGCTCTGTTCAGTTTCTTGTCACCTTAAGTTCCTTGTTCATCAGTTCACTATTACTCCCGAGCTGCATATTTGATTAAAGATCTATTCACTTGAATCAAGTACGTTATTCCGTAACCAGACAGAGAATGCCAAAGCCTCCGCATTCGCAGTTCCAAAAAAAAGTTCAGAATTTCCGAGTTTTGTGGTCCATAAAAATTAGTATTTTTTCATTGGGCTACAGAAATGCTGCCATTGCAAAGCCAGAATGTATCGCTGGTAACTAGCTGTTTTCGTGAATTCGTAAACTTAGGCTTCCTGACATGTTCGAAACTCTCAGTGAAGTTCAAGACAATGATTCGAGCTCATGTGATGCACCTTGTGCAGCACAAGCCCAAAATGTGTGAAGTGTGACTAACATGATCTTATGCTAACAACGTTTTTATTCATTCAGTACATCACTATGACGTAATGTCCCAGAGAGAAAAAGTGTTACATATAAAAAAATTTATAGTATAGAATATGAAGAAAATAAAATCTATTTCAAATCGGGAAGAGGATGAGAGGTAGAAAGAGAGGTGCAATTTCTTAAAATTGTTTATAGAATGATTGTGTAGCTGAATCGCCATTTACTCCTTCTTGATCTAAATCAAAATTTGCAATAATTTATAGAATCATTTAGAAAAAAAGTTTCTGGAACATAAACGTATTGCTCCATCTAAGGCCCCGGACAGACTTCAAGCGATTTCATCGTCGCGATTCAGTCGCCGAGATTTCCATTCATTTTCTATATTCAAAAATTTCGGGCTGGAAAAGCATCACAACTGAAATGCAAGTTGATCGGCTGGAATGATGTCGTCGCGATTCAGTCGCGACGATCAAATCGCGTGAAGTCTTTCCGGGGCCTAAGGCGGTGTTATCGACCATCCGATCCTTGATCGGGCGCTGCTTAACTGTCGCCCGATCAGGTGCGGTAAAACAGCGCGGACACAAAGGTCGAGAAATCAATATCCAAATATTTCTTGGAAAGTAGAATGGCTAATAAATAGGCTAGATTGCTTTAGGATCCTACAAATATTGCTGGAGAATTTTTGTACGACATTTGGTTTTTTTTTGGAAAGAACACTTCAATGAGAATTGAAATTCTGTTCAAGTAGAATTTATTTTCTCAGTGAAGAAAAGGAGCAATAAACTGGTATACCCCGAGGTTTCATTCTACTTGAATATGGAGAAAAATTTCGTTCTTTCAATAACAGAACTTCATAACGGCAAATCACAGTTTTTATTGTTCCTCGTTAGATAGAATGAAACCTGTATATATCCAAATAGTCGTTTATATACATTACCATAGAAGCGATACTTAGAAACTTGTAGGTTTGAGCTCTTGAGGATTTAGCCATGTTGGGGCATAATCGTCCTCCAGTAATGATAAAGAATTCTACGCAGTTGATATGTAATAGTAGTACTTCAAATTACTTCAATGCAAAAAAATCATGGATAAGGAATGACTGAAGATTCTTATGCCAGAACAAAATCATTTTCAGTTAAACGAATAGAATAAAAACTTTAGCTGATTTAGCTTCAGGTGAGTTCGTACCGTTTCCTGTTTCAGGCAAACGTTGCCCTCTCTAAATGAATGGTTTAAGTCTTAAGACTTAGGAGGATGGATGCACTACTTTATAGTTCGTTTGAACTATTCACTGGTTCTAAAAGGCTGATTCGCATTTCGTTCTCGCCACGAATCAAATGTGGTCTAATGAGTCGGCGAAAACCAACAATGGAATTTGAAGACGTCTAACACATTTTTGTTCTGTTCTCCATTGCTAACAGCAACTAGTCGTTATCTTTTCTCTTTGTTTCAAGAAAAAATAGCTCACGCGTTTCTTTTTATACTCCTTCGCACACCATTCTAATACCACCTTTCTTCTTCTTCGAATTGCAAGAAACACCTGAATATTTTATGATAGCCCTTTCATAAGTAATTAGTGATATCGTTTCTACAGCTTTCAACTATAATTACGTAAGCAACAATAGTCTCGGAGAGGACAAAGAGTATAAAAGTATATATTAGCCTTTACGCATGATGTGTCGTGACTGGCAGTGTTCGTCCTACTTAGATCTTTGCTCGTCTGAAGGTTTGGCTAGGTGTTTCTTGTTGAAATGCAGTTGTCTTCTCTCAGATTCTTCTGGATCATTGTTTTTTATTCTCATGTACTAGCATAATAAGCTGCATTGGTGATGATGTTTTGGAATGCCTTTCAACATCTCTACGGCCCTCTGTCTCGGGAATTTATTGTAAATAAATGCGGCGTACAGACGGCCCATCCATGAACAATTTTTCAACCAAGCTAAATGAAATTCCAATTGAATTTGAAAACTTTTCATCTATTTACAAGATACAACTCATTCGAAATTTTTGATTCATTGAGACCTACATATTGGTAGAATCTCGCAACCTCTACCCGTGGGAGGAAGTGGATTCATACTATTATATTTCCTATACTTCCTGACTAAGAGTAAGCGAGAAATGAACTAGACAAAATCTTAGATGAATCATAATGTGTTTAACATTGTTACAATTGCCTCGAACAATCTGAACCTTTAATTCAACCGCATTGGCTGCTGGAAGGCGGGGCTTTGTGACCTGATTAAGGCGTTCGCGACGCAGTCTGCGCCTCTCGCGCGCGCGCGTGCTCTCTGATCATTCTTTAACTAGGTCACGAAGCCCCGCTATCCAGCCGCCAATCCAGTTGAATCAAAGGGTACGTATTTCCATTGGTTTTCTCGCAATGCAACCATCGCATCTCCATCTCCATAACTTCTACTATAGCATTCATTATATCAAAAAGCAAAAGTTCTTTCGTAATCATCAAATATTTCTCACTCTCAACATAACTTGTGATCTTTATACTCTGACAATAAGTTAACCTACGATTCAACTGAATTGGCTGCTGGAAGGCGGGGCTTTGTGATCTAATTGAGGCAGCTCGCCCGCGACGCAGTCTGCGCCTTTCTCGCGCGCGTGCTCTCTGATCATCCTCTAGCTTTAACTAGATCCAAAAGCCCCGCCTTCAAGCCTCGAATCCAGTTAAATCAAAGGATATGTGCTCAGAACTTTTTTAATGAATAAACCTTGAAGCAAGAAATGATCATGAGAAAAAGTGAACACGCTGGTAGTTTCTTTCCTAAGGCTCTTTCAATCCTTTTCCGAGAATATTTGGAAAGTTCTCGCCCATAAACTTCCGCCAGCGTTATTGGTTTACACATAGCTACAGAGGTTTTAACTCCCCTGCAAAAATATAATATAGCAGACATCAGTTCTGAAACTGTACTGCTATAAAGCACGTGGCCTTTTCTTTTGAGCTCATAGACAAGTGTATTCATTGGGGCGTAAAATATCACTTGAATAGCAGAATAATACGAAAGTAACTTTTGTTTTGATGTTAAACTCTTTGTCTGTTAGATATTCACGTTTCATTTCTATCCTCCTATAAGTTCCATGGTTTTTTGTCAAAGAAAAATGATGCACACTTATCCAAGTAACATGTATCAAAAGCAACTCTTCGCGAAGGCTACACTCCATTTATCCATTCCATGCTTTCGTTCTAATTTTGGTTACACTTGCTAAGACAGGATGACCTCATATGCTTCGCATTGGTACCTCATGTAGCTCAGCTTGTCCTAAGAAATCTAGAAAATGGCATGTTCTACTTTATACTGTGCAGCAAGTGCGTAAGCTTTCAGTAAAGAGCTCGGACGCGCTATATTAACGAGAATACCAAGCTCTATTTTTTCATTAAAAATACCTTAGGGAGATAATGGCAGAGTGGAATGACGTGCTGATTGTTAATCAGCAGCCCTATCTGCGTAGATTGTCCCTATAGTGAGGGAGTTATATATAGGGAACCTCAGTTACTAAATTACCACTTCAGCTTGCTTCATTTTCGTACAAGAACAAAAAACTATAATCGATAACGTATTTTGGAAAGAAAAAGGCACATCCATAAAGTCAAAAAATTGAAACACCATACGAATTCTATTTTGTTCTACTTTTATTCTATTTTTAAGAATTCTTTTCTCATTTTCACATTCACAAGCTTAAGCTTTTTTTACAGAAGCGCATTGTTCTCACCAATATTTTTGCTGTTTCAAATTCACTAATTGTAGAGAATTTTCAGGTCCATGCCAGACTTTGCCTTTTTCTACTACACCATTGTCTGCTCAGCAGCTATTCTGCTCAATTCTTTCATTATACTCGCCAGCACTAGACCGTATGTAAGGTGGGTATAGTTATAATAGCTTTTTGCTGCGTCTGGTAATTTTTTTTTCAAACCGGATACTGGGGTTTGAACTAAAACCTATGTGATATAATTATCTATGTTTAGACATTCACAAATATGCATTGTGACATCCTATAACAAAGAAATAGCAAAGTCGGATAAAGAATGAAATGTATAAAGAGAGATAGGATATAATCGAGGAAAAAATATGTTATGCCCTTATTTTTGTTTCGTCATTCAGTCTTGCCCTTTTGCAAATTTGTTGCGTTGACAATTCAGTAATAGATGCTTTCCATATCCATCCGGTTTTTATAGACTCTTTGATCGTTCAAAATTACCATAACTACATATAAATGGATTTCTACCGCAACATGCTTTCAGTTGAGTAATGCTACTGTTAATGCGTCTCTAATATCCAAATGAAGATCACCCTAAAAGCATCAATGAACACTAACTAAGCAGCGCATCAGGTTTTGACTGCTGAAAAACCTTCCTAATTTTTGGTAGCAAAAAAAAATCAAAGTCCCATGAGGATATAAGATGCCTAATTAGCCAAATATTGCACTATTTCTTCGAAGCCTATGACGTTGTTACTTGTTTTTTCACTCTTGACTGAATAGAGCTTCTGTACATACTAGAAAGAAAAACATCTGGAAATATTGTTTGTCTTTTCATTTTAGGCCAGCTTATGCAGTTTTGAGATGTCTGGTTTTCAGAATTAACTGAGGCGTTCAAAAATTCTTAACAGCAACGCTAGAAAAATAATTTCATGGTTAGAAAAACCAATAATACAGACAGGAGCTACTGAACCCACGCAGTTTTTTCAATATATGAATAAGGTTCGTAAGAAATTTCGTCCGTACATGTTTCTTCCCGCTAAATTTAAGGGTGCTATGCGTTAAAACAGAACTAATTTTCCTATCTTCCCTTTCCACAAACTGAGAAGTAATTTTCCGGGACTTCTGCGGAGACCCTTGTTGAAAGCTTAAACCTCCAACCAGTTCCTGTAAAGAAAAATCATATATATTGTTATGCCAAGTCAAATGTTTATTTCATACTAGAACTAAGATAACCTTTATCCGTCTCGTTCCACTCATCTATGAATTTATGAAAAAATAGAACCCAGGAAAGAAGATGCTCAAAACTATGATTTTGAGAGAAACTCAGATTCAGCAAGTGCTATAATAAATTATTGATTCAGAGGCGAATTTAAATGGGTCTTTCTTGGTGCTGCCATCACAAATATGTTATTATCTATTTCACAACTCATTCTGATGCCTTCTACATTGAAATGGCCTGGAAAAAATGAGTATTCAGTTGTAGTCACCAGCAATCCTGCGCTGCAGCTGGGGCCGAGAGGTAGGAGAAATTATATTATTATATATACATTATTATATTAATATTATACAAAATGAAAGTGTTGGTTTAATTATTTTTTTCTCAGAGTTATGCCAAGTCCTCTTTGAATTTCTATATTTTCGACAATGGGAAGCTGCCGTACTCTCAATTTGTATTGTACCGGTAAATCGAGCAATTTCTGTCTGTTGGAAGCATATGGCACCTTCAAACGCAAAAATATGGATATTTATTGGTAAGGCTCAAAAGTTAGACTTTTTCAGCTGGTTGATTAATTAATTTCTAGCATTACTGCCAAATTTACTACCTTTGTTCGTCACCGTTTTCTGCCACCATCTTGGAATGACACATTTTGAGGATGTGGCTACTTTTCCGAGTAGAGCTGTGGACTTGTAAGTTTTGCATTTTTTCTCTGTGCAGCCAATTTTTTACCAAAATGTTCTTAATGATTGTATTTTCCACAGATTGGTCAATCAAGTCAATGCTGAAAAATATTGCACACTGAAGAGCAATTATCGCAAAGCTGGAGACATTGCCACAACGGGTTTTCTCATCTTCTGCCCTGTCATCAGCTACGTAATCACCATCGTACGTAACTACTACGTAAAACTTGTTATTGTGCTAAATATAGGCTTCTATTCATAGATAAATGCACACATTTAGATGTGAACTCTATTTTTGATTAGATGCTGCCCTCTACTTTTGCACTTGCTAACAGGAGCAAACCACAGACGAGAACTTGAACTCTAGAGATTACGCAGAGAAACCGTGAGATACATCAGAACAAATTTTCAGCATGGAGATACCAATTGTTCACGAAAAAAAAATGTCCAAGAGAGCTCAAGGGTCAGCAAGATATCCAAAGAAAAATAACCAAAAAGAGATTCAAAGAAAATTAATTGAAAAAGAGTTTTGAGGTCTCAAAAAATCAAGGAAATGTGGGAAACTGTCATTTCCTATTAATGAGAAGAGCTTCTTTTATTTTTGAAATATACAAAAAATGAGACATTTTTATTTTATGATCGAGAGATTTTTCGAGATATTATTTAAGACTTCTATGACCCTACTTATGTAGTTCATCTCAGCATTTATTTTGTATATTTGGGTGAGACGAACATATTTCACAAGCAAAGGCATAGCGATTTTTTTTCATAATGAGTTTCATATTGAATTCGCCCAAACTGAAAATTTTTCGAAATTCCTTCAAGAACCACAGAAATTTCACCACCAAAAAAGTGATTCAAATTTATCAAATTTTTTAAGATTTAGAGCTGTGGACCTTCTGACTACAGTGTTTGAGAAAAAGAAGAGATGTTAGGCTAGGCTCAGTGGGAGATGCGACAACTTTTGCAATGTAGAAAATGTCCGATTCTCATGTGTCTAACTTTCCAAAACTCAAAACCAGATTTGTTGTTAGAGAAAAAGTTCAAGCCTGTTAAACTGCCCAAAAAATACCTGTAAGTAAATTTTTGTTGATCTATGTTTTATTAAGATTAGCTCGTTTCAGTACTGTGTTGTCAAACTATTTCTGTTCATACGACATAGCAAAGTGAATATTCGTACAAGTGTGAGTCGACAAGTGATGCATCGACAAAAGAGTATTTTAGCCACAATTTGCATCCAGGTAGGAATTTCAAGAAAATTCTTCTTGTGTGTATATTTCTCCCTAATCCAGGCAGCAGTACCTCTAGTAACGTATCTACCCTTGTTTCTCTCCATTCTTATAGTCGATAATTCCTGGGGAATTTCGTCGTCGGAAGGAGCACAGTGGTAAGTTACCAAGAGCTTCAGTAAGGAACTTTCTAATTATGAGTTTTTGAGGTACGACATGGGTGTTGTTCACTACGCAGCTGCTTGGGGTCCAGCTATAGATGCTCTAGCAAGTATAGCATGTCTAAAGCCTTACAGGTAACCATTTTCTAATAGCAAACTGGAGAAATTTTATTCATTCTTTGCTAACTTCTCGCGCATAAAACCTTCGCCCCAAAACATCAATGAATAACCGAACTAATATTTCCATTTTTTTATCTTTCAAGACGTTATGTGAAGCTACTGACCAAGTGAAAAACCACCGAAGTTTTGACGTATACATTTTCCAGAAGAGCATTCCTTGAGCTGGTTGGCTTTGCTTCAAGTACTACAGAACAAAGGATCCTAGCCTTCACGAAGAAAATGGGTACAAACCAGGTATATTTTTACCAAACAAATTATAAGTTTGAATTGTCCACCGAGTATCAAAGCTTTTCATATTTGTTGAATAAATATTTCAAACCCATACAGGACCACTACTTTAGATGCAATCAAAAAACGACAGCTTGAACTTTTATATTCATGAGAAGAAAACACTAAGAAATATTTCGCATTTTACGCTGATAAAGCTTCTTGTGGTTATCAGAAGTAATATGCTGAAATTGGGTATAGATTTGAAAGATGCCTAAAACTACTGCAAGTACACAGCAAACTTGAGTGAAGTTGGGGGCATATTCTAGCATTTCTATTTCACCATTTTTGGACTAGATACTAGATAAAAGAGCTCGCATAGTCTCTCGGATCCCGCGAATTTTGTCCACCCACAGTTAGATCTGTTTTAAGATAGAATCGATTCTAAAAGTTGAGCAAAACACTTTTGGGAAAATTAGACATCGTTTCAGTAACATTTCAACAAATATATGTATTGTACCAGCGCATTTACTAAACCTAAAGAGAGGATTACAGAAGCACGACGTCAGAAGAATCAGCCAACAATCGGCTATTCACGAGCTTGACGTGAGAGGCGCTGGTGGCACAAGGTTTGTGGATTCTGTCTTTGCTAAAAGAATAATCATGCATCACCATCTTTAGGGACTCAACATGCGAATCTTTTATAGACGTTTCACCATTCAGTACCGACCGTCCGAGGACAGACCCAGGCGAAGGACGTTTACGAGAAACTAGAGTGTAATTTTCGAAATTCCACCTTATATAAATATTCTGCCTTTTGCTTACTCCCTTGTGATATAGTGCAAAATATGGGAAATATTGAAGCTTGTATGAAACTTTACAAGATATCAACGAAGCTATACAGTAACAAGAGAAACAGTGAAAACAAATAACAAAATAAAGTGAAACAGAAAAAAAACGAAAGAACGGCAAGTACATACAAAACAAGTCCGATATATAAACAGAAATACAAAGTTATTTTGTTGAATTTTCGTAAAAGGTTTGGGATTCTCAATCACTACTCTTCAAAGAGGAAAAAAAATCACAGATTATGTTACAGTCTACTATAAAACTACACTTGGGTAAAATGAGCCTATAAGATCATACTCATATATCTATCTGCTACATGACAACAATCTATACTAAGGTAAAGACACTACCCTGAGATTATTTCCTATTTTGAAAATCAAACTACAGCTTGAGCATTGTCAGCTCTATCCAAAAGATCTAAAGATACAGACCCAAGCGTAGGCTCACCAAAAAGACCGAAAGGGTCGCTACTCCTTTCCGCTAGATGTTTCGATCCTTCTTTGGCAAGGTCTGCAATTTCCTGAAAATGAAATATTCTTTAATCAGACACGTATGTTGCTTTCAATCTAAGTAGTACTATGCATAACAACTCTATGACCACAGAGCAATACGCTTTGAGAGCAAATTCTCAAATTCTATCGAAGAGCTCAAAAATTTGTGAAGTCTAAAATTAAAGTTCTCTTAACCCACAAAATCTGCATCTTCTCCTTTCAAAGACACCCACCAGTTCCGTTTCTTACGAAGAGTAAAGAGAGAACTTAAGAAGTTACAGAAGCGTAAGCACACATTACAAGATGACGCAAATGGTGCACTTTTTGCGTTTGCTGATCAATGACTTCCCATTATTCAAAACATTGCAATTTCGTTGAATTACTATGGAAGTGCTTAAAAACATAAGTCAGACTACAAATCATTAAAGGGCCTGTGACAAAATGAAGACCACAAAGATTCTCACCTTAGGAGGCTCGTAATGCAAGGTTGACGTCCGTGCTGCGTTCATTATAGATTCCAAGGCTCCAATAGTTTGCGAAAGCTTGAATTAAGATTTAAAAAAAATGACATGCTTCGTACATAGACTACAACTACCTACCTGATTCTGAACAATTAGTTCCTTTGCCACAGCTGTTTTCAGGCTCAGGGCTAGTTTTGCCACTTTTGGGTGCAACTCCTCGTTAGCATACACCTCTGAACGAAATGAAGTCAATCAGTTCAAAATGAAAGATTAAAAATGCCAACCGAAGAAAGCGTCAACAACGTGTCGCAACACATCAAAGTGACTTCCACGGAACATCTGCACATGGACAAACCTAGATCAAATGAGCTAAAAACGGGGATATGAGTCGGAATCTCCCAACTCACTTGAGCATATTCACAAGAACATCATTTTCTTGCCCTGAGATCGCACGTCGAATTGCTCCTCTATGTATGATAATTCGCAGCCAAGCTACCACCTCCTCTTTTTTGGTGTGAAAGTAATAAGCTAAAAACGTTACTCGATTGAAGAAAAAAAATTTTGATGAGGAGAAAACTCACAATGAAACATCTTTCGGATGGCAGCAGAGTGTTGATAACCTTTCAAAAGTGTATCAATCTTTGACAAGCGATGCTAAAAAAACCTAAGGCTCTCTCAAAAACTGGAATGACTGTATATGTATAGATAGTAAGTATAAGAGTATGAATATAAATAAAAAATAGAAGAAGATAAAATGAAATGAAAAAATGCATGAATGTACCTGATCACTAGATTTTGCACTAATCTCCTTAGTTTCTCTTGGTTTTCCTGCCTCCTGCACTCGCACCTTGGGCGCAGCAGTACGGACCATTGTGCGATTGTCAGCGACTTGTGCACTTACCATAGCCTAGATCAGAAGTATATGAATTTGCTAGACTCACAGAAGTTGAATGAGAGATAAATCGAACTCCCAACGCACTTTAGACTCCGGCGCTCGACGGTGAATGGCCAGAAGTTGACCTATGCCTACAGCCATTGTCTGGTCATCCGGCGATATTGCTAGGCTCAACACTGGTGCGGCCATGGACATCGAATGAAGCTAAAACAAAAACTCACCTGAACCCAAGACAGCGCAAAGATCAAAACTGAATTACCAATGTAAAATCTATCAATCGGAAAGCGTTAACCCGTCTGTCGATTCCACCTGATAACAATACATCACCATTTTTCGCTAAGCAAAGGGAAGTGACTGTTTTATGATGCTGCTGTAGTGACATCAGTTGCCTCCCTCCAGCGGCTATATCCCAAATTCTAAATCAGAAGATCAGGGGGGTAGACTACACAACGGACAATGTACTAACCTGACGATGGGACCAGCAGCAGTGGCAATCAAATGCTCATTATTGAGAAACACAACGCTTTCAACAGGGAAGTTGACATCCACTTCCACGGTAGGACCATCGTTTACACACCGACAATCCCATAATTTTACCTAAATTGTCTAACGATGAAATGACCATAAATAAAAGCGACATACTTTGTGATCATATCCTCCGGTCAGAAGAAGGCTTTCATTGGGAGCAGAAATAGCGCTTGCTCGAATGGCATCCTTGTGAGCTGTGAAATCCATAGTTGGCTTAGCACTGTAACATAAATCATCACCTAATATTTTGAAAACTTCTCGAGTACCTTGTATCAGCAATATCCCACTGTTTTACTATTCCGTCACTCGCCATAGAATACAATTTTTTACCGCAAGAGGAGAATTCAACACAACGAACACTGCTCTGACTTGCACGTACACTACGCAACGGAGTCTAGAAAAGCTAAATTTGCAGCACAAGAGGAAAACTTAAAGATATGAAGAAGTGCTTCAAACAAACATACTTTGCCAGTGCCACTGGTGCGAGTGACGTCAAAAACACGTACTTTTCCTTCCTCGCCGCCAATTGCTGAAAAGTCCGGGTAAAATATAAAAGGTTTCAATAAGAGAAAGTATAATAAATTTAACATTCTGTGCTTCGATCACAAAAGTCTTGATATTTGTACAAAAACACACTGCCTTTCGCAATTTTTTGCGAGCATGAAAACGCTAGGAGCGAGAAGAGGGGAAAACAGAAATTCGCTCACCGACCAACTCTCCATCATGTCGAAACCGCACACCATGTACAGCTTGCTTGAATCTGCAAAATAGTGTTTGCCAAATGCCAAAAGGCAGAAAATTTCCAGATGTACTCACCTACTGAACATATTTATAGGTTCACATACTACAATATCATACAAAGAGAGCCGAACGGAACTAGTAGATGCAACGTTGTAAGGCTTTTTCGGGCAGAATGCTACCGAAGTGACAGAAGATGGCTCTTGAAAGACGGATAATTGCTAGAAAAGGTAAATAGTATGTGGGTAAATGACTCATATGGAAGTTGCAAGGTGCCAATGTCAAAGCAACAATTGGTAGGACACAGCTTGATAAAGTGAACGAAAGACATCAATCGCAAACATCTCGAAAGAAATTCGAAAATAAGAACAAATCAAAAACAAAATAGGAAGTGATTCTCGTACCTGCATCCGCCTCCAATAGATAACGTCATCATCTAATCTACGATGAAATTCGTTCACTGCCACTCGGCCAGCAGGAACATATGAAACCGCCATCCGAAAAGAAAAATAACTTAAAATAGTGAGTACGAAAAAGATTTTCGAGATATAAGCAGTGAACTCCGAACTAGAAGACAAGATGCAAAGTGTTCATTCTTCTTTCGTATAAATAACAACAACAAGCAACTACAAGAGTAATAACAACCACAAAATCAACAGCAAGAAATAAACGATGAAATCAGTCTACAGTTCATCCAGTCTCATTGAGTTTACATTCGCACAATCATATAAATAGTATCTAAAATAACTGAAAACTACGCTTCTTTTGTCGTACTAGTTGCTAAAAAATAATATCAGAGTGATAGGTGCATACATACAAAGTGATATCAAGAGATTACCAGCATGCATTTGTACCTCATTATTAAAGCGGATGAAGCAATGCAAGAGCCTGCTCTTCAGCACTCTTCAATTGCTCACGTTGTTTTCGTCGCTTTCGCAATGGAGGCACAACATCTTCTGCTTTGGCAGATGCATCAACGTCTCCTTCATTCTCATCTGTGAAAGAAAATTAGAAATCTACAATATCGGAAGAGCAGATGATACACGAGAGACGTAGACTCACATTCTTCAGCGTATTTCCTACGCACTTCATCGGGATCTGGCAAAAATGACAAATCCGCATCGCTATCTATGCCACTTCCTCCTTCTCCCAAGTCAAGATCTTCACCTCTGAAAGAAAATCACCCATAGAAAGCAAATGGAGAAATACAGCGAGATGAACACACTTACTTCTCTAACCTCTTCCTCTTTTTCAACCTTTCCTTCTCTTCTTTCTTTCTTTTCTTGATCATTTCCTTATGACGCTTTCGATCCTCCTGAAATGAACCATTTAACTAGGCATCAGAGTTTAATTAACAAAAAGCTTACCGCACTACTCTGCTTCATTGACTCTACAGCAGTGGCAAGATCCAGACCAGCTTCTTCCACTTTATCATCAACAATTCCATCAATCTAAAATGTTCTGAGGTTAAGAACTCCTTACCAAAGTTTCTCGAACAATCCTACCTTAGCAACCTCTCCCTCATCATCGAACACTTTCCTTACGTTCAATTTCACTTTTTTGTTCAGCAACTTTTTAGCAGCGCCCAATTTTGTGATCACTTTTGAAGTGTTGTTGCTTGTAGACTTTGACGGACTAGGTTCACAAGCCTAGATAAAATCGCTGTGTTGAAGAAACCACTCAAAAAAAACGGTAGAACAGACCTCATTATGATCATTTTCAAGCAAGCTGAAAACGTCTTTCTTCTTCATCACAAACAAATCCTCGTTTTCATCAATTTCAAACTCGCTTTTCGCCGGTTTCTAGAAGGGAAGCGACTGACATATGAAAGCAAAGTTACATGTGCGAATGAATAACATGCACTATAGGTACTGAAAACATTGATCACCTGTTCAACGGTTCCATTCTCTTTCTTGCGGTCAAGAGCAGGAGGAATATCGCTGTTATTTTTTGTGCCCTAAGATTGGAAGTGCACGTTTAGAACCTTACAGTGATAATAAAAAAAACAAAACTCCGCAAACTCCGCTTACCTTGACATTCAGTCCCTTCTTGCTCAAAAACCGAACTCTAGGGACACTCATAAGGCCATAAGAAGATGCAAGTTTCGCGGCATCAACTGAAGTGACGTCGAAGACTCGCTTATTTCTCATCATGTATATACTTCGAAGGTAAGCAACGACGCTCTGAAATTGCATAAGTAAACCGTGATAACGTAATGGTTTACTGTGATAAATAATATGATATAACGACCATAATCAATCGTTTCCAAAGCCCCCCCCCCTTCAGAATAATAATGTAAAAGTATACCTTTTGTGCATGTTGGTTCAGTTCTGGAAATTGCGATAGCACAGCTTGCATCTTCGTGTGTATATCGACTAGTGCTCGTGGATCCGCACTGCAATTCTTAATGGTACAGAAAAAAACGGGAAAGTATTTAGTGTCGAGCTAGTGACCTACACTTGCTTCTCCAGTGGAATGTTTGCCTGCCTTAACGCTGTTATCATTCCTTCTTCTTGTGAAGGTGTTAAAAATAGTACAGCATGTCCTGTTTGATTCATTCGAGCAGTACGACCAACTCTGAAAGCAGATAACCAATACTGGAATCAAGATCAATCACACGAAAAAACAGAGAAATGCATGCAAATCAAAAAGCTGAGGTAAGCAAAACACCCAAAATAATTTTGTGCGAAAAAGTGATAGCTGAATACCTGTGTATATAATCTTCAACAGAAGCTGGACAGTCGAGTTGAATAACCCAATCCACATCCGAGAAGTCAAGCCCACGACTTGCAACATCTGTCGCTATCATCACTGCAGCCTACAAAATAAGACAGTATGGCAGCAAACAAAAAATACCTGAAATTAGTATGTCAGCAAACAAAAAATACCTGAAATTAACTACCTGTTTATTTTCAAAATTTTGAAAAACGTCCACACGCTTCTTCTGATTCATTGTACCCCATAAACCCATGACTGGCAGTCCTGGCCGTAAATGACAAAAAGCATTTGTCAGAAAACGCGCCTATAACGAAGTGAAGGGTTGCTTCCAATAACTAAGAAAATGAGAAAAATCTCCTTACTTGCTTGCAACTTGACACAAATACGATAGTCTTCGCTTTCTTGTGGTTGGCAGTAAACGACCATATAGTGTTTACTTTATCTTCCTCTTCACATACCATATACCACTGCACCAGACAATCTGGCGTAGCATTCGCGCAACGTTCGTGGGCGGAAACGAATACAGGATCCTAAAAACTTGGACAAATGCTGACAGTGATAAGGAAGTGAAAATAATCAAAGACAGCAAAACGAACAACTAACATTAGTGCAGACTCTGCTCAAGTCTTTCACATTACGAGTCTGCGTAGCAGAGAAGAGTAGTGTTTGCCGCTCTTTCGGAAGATTGGCGACTATCGCGTTGATCTGGTAAAAAGCGAATACAAGAGTTGAGAGACAAACAGAAAATCAGCATACAAACGCAAATATTGCACTATGCTTTAGGCACACGCCATACTTCATACGCTTGATCCACTTCGCTATTCGCCAAATCAGTGAACTGACCAATAGCGAAATGGATGAAGAGGATCAAGCGGATCACATGAACCGCCCGTTTGGCTGTTGGTCGGTTAGCTGATTTGACCGATAGTGAAGCGAATCAAGTGGATTAAGCGGATTAAAGATAGAAAAATTATGTCTACCAAAAGCAAGCAACGGAACAGAGATGGAAAGTAGAAACTTCTGTGTACATATTAGATTCAATGCTCACCTGTTGGTTGAAACCCATATCTAATATGCGATCTGCTTCATCAAGAACAAGGATTTGCAGCTGATCACAAGACAAATGCTCATTCTCGTCCATATGCTGCAGAAGTCGCCCGGGAGTACAAATAATGATGTTTACAGTACCAATTCGCTTCCTCTCATAATCCACGTCGGTACCTGAGAATGTGAGAACCTTACAAAACCAGCAAACTTGTGTAAAAAGGATCTTGATTACCGAAAAAGAAGCAAGAATAAAGGTGCTCGGCACATATGAACAGAACTGCAAACCTCCGATAAGAAGAGCGCATGAGAAATCGTGATGTTTCCCAATGTTATTAATAACAGTGAAAGTTTGTAAGGCAAGCTCCCTGGTGGGTGAGATGATCAAGGCTCCGAGACCGCCAAAATTAGACCATCCTGCCTTCCAAAGGCATTCTAAGACCTAAAGAGATATGTAAATTAGAATGAAGTGTCTAATGGTAAGCTTATCTTAACAATACTGACCGGTATGATTAGTGCTAAAGTTTTCCCGCTGCCGGTTTTTGCAGCACCAACCACATCCGAACCACTTAGGGAGAAAGGCAAGGATTCTCTTTGAATGTCTGTCGGCTCTTCGTAATCACATTCCTCCAATCCTTGTAACGTTCTATTTGACAAAGGAATGTCAGTAAAGTGTTTCAAAGTAGAAGGGTTTACCTAAAAATTCAAGTACTAATGAAAAAAAGCAGGATTACTTTTACAAACGAAATAGACTGGTTTTGACTTACTTTAGCAAGATCTTTACATTTCTCGATAACTGTCTGCAACTCTTTTTCGCTGTCCTCCTTCCTCAACTTCTTTTCCTTTCCCACTTGCTTAAAACGGTGCTTCTTCTTGGCTCTATGTGCATCCACTGCAGTCATTCCTAAAACAAGAATAATAACTACTCAACCTTATAATAAACAATGATGTCAGAAACGACAAAGATTGGAACGAGAGTATATATAGGTATATATGCAAGTACTCGTTTAAGTTAACCCTAAGCTACTGTGATGAGCAAAAGATTTGCGTTCCACAACCTTTTTGTGCCTTTAAAGGGCCTTGTACATGTGCTAATTCTGTATGATACTAATCTGTACGATACGAAGCCTTAATTCTAGCTACAAGTGTAGAAAAGAAACGCAAATCAGCCCTCGTTAAAAAATTAAGCGTAAAATCAAATGTACATCGCTCTACGTACCACATTTTACGCCTAAAATTCAAATTGCACTCTTGACCGGCTATACTATTCCTGTGGTTCCTGCAATTCCTGCGATTCCTGTGATCGCTGCGGGTACCGTAACAATGTATGGTCCCTTCCACAGATCTTGCTACCCTCGGTCTGCGTCTCACACCTGCCACGTGTGACTAACATGTTGGCAACGTGACAACAACGTGTTTGCAACATGCAGCAACACGTTGGCAGGACGTTTTGGCCGCGCCAACATGTTGCTGCATGTTGCAAACATGTTGTTGCCACGTTGCCAACATGTTAGCCACACGTGGTACGGGGCTCCTAAATTGCAGAGTCGTTTGCACCAGAGGTCGCGCGACCGCGTCGCGCCGGAGCATCAATGGCGCCGCCTCGATCGATAGCGTCGGCGCCGGCAAAGTGCCCGGGCGCGACGCGGTCGCGCGACCGCTGGTGCAAACGACTGCAATTTAGGAGCCCTGTAGGTGTGAGACGCAGACCAAGGGTAGCACGATCTGTGGAGGGGACTATATATTGCGAAAAAAAATAATGTATAGTGGAATTCGCAAAGCGCTTCGTAGTGCGGCACTCGGAAGTTGGGCGGGCGCAGCGATCGCCTTCCAGTTGCCAATCCCGTTAAAGTAAGGTAAAATCGTGTCTTCGCTCATATCTATTTTGAATGTTTCATGGTTCTGCACTACGTTAACCACTACACCCCGTAATCGTAGAAAATGACCCTATCGTACAAAACCAGTGTGATATTCGGCATCAGCGGGCCGAATAACCTCTAGGCCAAGAGACGGTTAAATCCACGACAAAAAAAAATTGGGGGCCCGGATACTGGAGTAGCGCCGTGATTTTCTGTGTATGCATTCCTGTATGTTATTTTTTTGAATCTGCTCTGTGCTCTGCCATTATGTGTTGTCACCTTTCGATGAAATGTGAATTACCTGATGTGTGGAGCAGAGGCACGCACTTCTTCTGGCTTCTCACACTGATCTGTAAGTGCTTTGCATGCGATCGGTATGCTGCAGTTGCACCGTCACTGCCGTTCGCTAAATTAACAACGGTTTCCACCGTTGGCATAGGCACTCTTGTTAGGTATTAGAATGAAGAAAGTCAGCGAGAGTCATTTGAAAGTGGAAAGTTCGTCACGAAGTATACTTCTTGGCAGAGTACTTACGGCACCAGAGCGAGACGACGCGACAATTTATATGAAAAGTTCTTCATCTATTTGACTGTATGTCAAATTAACACTACATTAAAGGCAGTGAATCGGCAAAATTTGACAACCCAGGATCTTAACGCAGTAGGTTCCTTATCGTCCAAGTATGAAAATAGTGCAATCCCGGTTGCACAGCATGCCTTCCTGTCGAGAAAAACGCCCTCAAATTTATACGCGCAGGCTAATCCTACACGCACTCGGACGAGTTGACAACTTCCCTCTCACCATTGGAGGCTGCCCGCCGCTATGATCATCGGTCCCGCAACGATTCAGCGCCATCAGCCTTGCTCCACTCGTCCAATCTTGAAAGGGGGGGGGGTTGAAAACGCTCGTTTTCTCCGTTTTTGAGCTCTCTAAAGTGTATTTTCGTGATCAGCGTATTGGTTAACCCCAGGTAAGCGAAAATTAGACTAGCTTGAGATTTGCCGAGTTACTGCCTATGAGTAAAAACTTGGTAGGTTCAATTTCAATAGCGACAGGATGACCAACGGGCGCATCGGTCGACTGCGATCCGGCACATTGGGCTATGCTAAAGGTTTCGCAAAATTTCCAAGCATGGAATACGAAGGAAAGAATAACATGAGAATTGATGGTTTGCTAGAGCTGCTGATTAAATTGACCACGATGGCAGAGGAGGAGGAGGGGCGGATATTTTAGAATTGTGGAGATTTTAAAAAGAAATCTTGTACTGTTTTCAACCTTTAATTATAATTGATGGAGGGAGAGGTTGAAGAAGGCCGCTAGCAACAGCAACGTCCGCACGCATCTTATATATAAAGCTGAATGTCTGTTTGTTTGTCTGTCTCTCTGTATGTCTGTATGTCTGTATGTCTGTGTGTACGTATGTTCCGAATAGAAAATTCCATTTCTGAACCGATCGGGACCAAACTTAGCACACATACACTTCGGGCCCCGGCGGATGTCATAGGCTACTTTTCGTCATCGATCGATATCGATTTTATCGATTTTTTGCAAAATTTGAGCTACGGGGCTGGGAGTTGGCACAGGGGGGTAATCGAGCGTGGGGATTCCGAATACAATATTGGTTTTCGGGATTATCGATTACTATTATCGATTTTATCGATTTTTTTGCAAAGTTTGAGCTAGGGGGCTGGGAGTTGGCATCGGGGGGTAATCGAGCATGCTGATCACCCCCAGGGGGGTGATCAGCATGCTCGATTACCCCCCTGTGCAAACTCCCAGCCCCGCAGGTCAAACTTTACAAAAAAAATCGATAAAATCGATAAAAGTAATGGACGATCCTGAAACTAATGTTGTATTCGGAATCCCCATGCTCGATTACCCCCCTGTGCCAACTCCTAGCCCTGTAGGTGAACTCTGCAAAAAATCGATAAAAATCGGTAAAATCGACATCGATCGATAACGAAAAGTGGACTGTGACACCCGCGGGCCCGAAGTGTATGTGTGCCAAGTTTGGTCCGGATACGGCGGAGCCGGGTAAGCCAGCTAGTCTCATATAATCTCTGAATGCCAACGAGAAGTGAAGAATATACGCATTTATAACATCGAGAGCCCTGATCCTGTGACAGTAAAATGTGACATTTAATTTATCGAGCTTGCTGGAAACAGATATTTTTAGCGCAACAATCATTGCATCTTATGGAACCGCAACGCATATCTATATGCACTCGCACACAACTGAATATTGGCTTTAAATAGCCGGTTAACTCAAATTGCATCATTGGGTAAATATACACTACGCAGTAGGGGCGTCTTCTATTACATTTATCAACCTCATTTGAGAGGTATGAGGGCAGTAGAAAGAACGGTGTACAACTTCTATCACCGTGTCTAGCCGCTGCAGCGATGTATCGTTGCAGTTCATAAAAGAGGTGAAAAAGAAATACAGGAACGCTTGAAGTTATAATAGTGGCCTTCCGCAAGGGTTCACACACATCCGAAAGTTTGAAAAGTGGGAGGTACATCATTTCGTAGGTATCTGGCAAGTCTATTTAGCGATCTCTGTAGGGAGATCAGCCAAATGTTTGAAACGTTTGATTTCCTGACTGCGAAGCAGGTGGATTGTTGAGTATCGTCTGCTAATCGCCCTCAACAGCCCTTGAACTCACAAAATATAACAATATGTAACTTGTACCGTGCTCATACTCAGACAAACGGCAGGAAGTTCCGGCGAACATGCGTAAAATATCAAAGTTCCGGAGAACCTTGTTCACCATTGGGGTATAGAAATGACAAAGTTCCCGTGATTTATGACGTCACGGGAGCCGCGGATTCAAAGTTCCGGTGAAAGCGCGTGGGAACTTTGGCAAAGATGACAAAGTTCCCGTGAAGTACACTAAATACAAAGTTCCGGCGAACTTTGTCGTGCTAGCCAGCCGATCGGCGCGGGACCACGCTTCGAGGGCGCGCGCTATGAGGAAGCGGATGTCGAAATACATAACGCCGCAGCGTAGGATCTCGTTTGGGGGTAAGTTCATGCCTCTTCTATCAGTACTTTGTGATGAAGTGTTTCCTTTTTCAGGTGCGAACAAGTGGAGAAGAGGCGCACGACTGCTCAAACGCGCAGGTGCAAGTTTCATCTCGGAGAAGCTCTTCGCTGGCTACTGAGAGAAAAAAAGGTAAGCACTCAGTTATTTAGTGCTCCCAATGATGTATTTCCTTCTCTTGCTCTTCATTTCCAAAAGTCATGGGACGCTTTTTTGGATATTTTGTCGTCTTCTTCTTTCTTCATGTTATTTCTGCTCTTAACTCTATGTTCTTGTTATTTCTCCTTTTACCTTTATCTCTGTCTGTCTTCACTACAAGCGTCCCTAGTCTGAAATGTTCTCTGAAAACGCTAAACTTATTTATGCTAGTTCTATGATGAAAGTTGGGTGAGAATTTCGATATCACTATCATACAACTGGGACACGGGTAGCACTTTGGCTGAGGAGTACTTCTCGCGTACGGCCAGCAGCTTCGGCAACGAGTGTAGCCTCAGGAAGACTTTGGCAAAAGTTGATCCTAGTTTCTCAGCTTCCTTCAGTGTGCCCGTCATTGGAGGATGAGGTAGATAGACTGAAGCAGATCCTCAGTGTCAAACGCCCTCTCCCCGACACGTCAAGCGAATTCAAGTACGAAAACCTGAGACAAGACCACCTCATTCGCGCTCAGCCGCCATTCAAGGTATTTAGACACAAACTGTTGCAAAAAATCGCCGAATTTTGTTCGTAGGAAGTAAATTTGAATGAATTCCTGCGAAAGTACGCCCCTCCAAAAAGAGTAAAGAACGACGTCACCAGCGAAGTCATCGACTTTCTACGAACTCTGTTCAAAGAGGTGCGTATTTAACTCCGGATACAAAATGACTACCACATAACCTACACTTAGATCTGCGCACCCGATCCTTCTGATATCTGGAATTACGCGTATCGTGTTTCAAAAGTTGCTCGAAGGACGGATATAAGCAATCTACCCGACTCCATTGTTGATGGGCTTACAGGTGAAGGTAATTCACATCTGAAAGGGGTTAAGTTACAAAACATTTAGAGTTCATTTTGGACGCTTTGGATCTGAACCACAACGAACTTTATGGATCGAGGCTGCATCTGCTGAGAAATTCACAGAACAGGTGCTGTCTATATCTACAATAAGCATTTTAGGCGCTGAAAATTTTTTTTTAGTTTCTGGTTGTCGTTAGCTGAAAACGAGCAGGGACGTGAAAAACTTTTCAATTCACTGCTGGAAAAGAAGTCGAAATGGAGCGTAAGCGCAAAAACATGCATTGCTGAAGCGCTGTAAGTCCACCACTTCTACATAACGCCACATAAAAGGCAGTTTCTATTTTTAGGGAAGATGTGCGCTATTATCGCCTCCACGAAGGTCTTCTTGTTCCACCGAAGGTATGCCAAAATCCGCTTCCTCCCATTTCTATTCATATATATATATATTTTTAGAAATCGAAGGATGCCCTTGTCGGACTTGGACGCACTGACAAAGAGGCGATGAGCACGGAGGCTTGGAAAGCAAACCTAGACGTCAGCATTGAGAACTTAGGCAGCCGGTGAAAACAATATCGAACCTTTTATCAATGTTTATGTTGATATATGAATACTCGTTACGTGTATATGTACTGTATAGTTGTTAGTACAGTTACTGTAGTTATTCGATGAAGTCTTTATGTTAAGTGTTAAACAAGCATTTCATCGTTAATAAATATGTACATTTCATCGTTAATAAATATATAGGTGTTCTCTATAGCAATCGCATCAGAAGTGGTCATTAGCTGGAGTTCCGAGGTATCAAGCAAGAAGTTCCCCAGAACTTCAACTAATGAAGTTCCCGTGAACTACAGTCTTTTGGAAAGTTCCCGAGAACTTTGGAGGACGAAGTTCCGGCGAACTATAATCTTTTATGAAGTTCCCATGAGCTTCAGAGCTGAAGTTCCCACGAACTTACAGTGGTGTTCCCACAAACTTACAATGGAGTTCCCCAGGTGACCCGCCGGAACTTTCTTCAATGTTCGCCGGAACTTCCCCCTGTTTGTCTGAGTAGTGGGAAGGGCAGCCTTCCGACACGGAATATGCTGAGCAATTGTCCAAACGATTGCATCAGGTTGGAAATTACAGAAGTCGCTGGAACAGAAAGAAACATGTAATATATAGGGTAAGATACTATAGTGCAGAAATTAATGTATACATAATCTATTAATGTAGATATCTGATAAGGCCTTAAATAATGACATATTCACGTATGTAAGTCATAGAAATTGCATGAATACATAGAGCATCGACAAGTATAGAAGTTTATGTATAACCTAGTTTATGTAATTGATGGATGTGTATGTTGAATAGGAATATGAAGGTATGGGACATAAGTAGTATACATTGCATATGTGAAATATATATGATTGCAAATATCAGGCTGTAAATAAAGTTCCCGGGCACTTCTGGAAATTTTATTTTCAAACGCATTTTATCGGCGCTCATTCAAACTTTGACACCAAGTTTTTTTGTATTGTTCAGTGGAGGGAAGAAGGGCCGCATGCACTAATATCCCCGCGGGGAGGGGATCGCAGCTTCAGAAGAAAGCTTCATATCCTGAAGCTTCGGATATCTGGATTTCACGCTGTCTACCTATCCGTAAGTATTCCTACTACCCTTCACTATGAACATGTTGAACAGGAGCGAGAAGCTGTACAAACCGCATTTTCCAGCTTTTGTAAGATCCCTGATGATCCCCGGCGCTTTTCTTTAAAGTCATTTTTCTTTCTCCGAAGTTAACGAAAACCTTCCAAAGTTGTACTGAACATCTAACACAATACTGCTAAGCATGTTGCTGAGGAAAACAAATGAGTTTTTGAAAAGTCGAATTTTTCGGTAAGCCTCAAATTTCGACCTGTGGATCATCGCAAATTTCATGACTTCAAAACATCATTTGTTTTTAGCAGCAACATGCTTAGCACTGTCGGGTTAGACAATCTGCACAACTCTGGAGATTCTTCGTTAACTTCGGAGAAAGAAAAATGACTTTGAAGAAAAGCGCCAGGGATCATCAGGGATCATACAAAAGCTGGGAAATGCGGTTTGTACAGCTTCTCGCTCCTGTTCAACATGTTCATAGTGAAGGGCAATAGGAATACTTACGGATAGGTACACAACGTGAAATCCAGGTATCTGGAGTTTCGAAATATAAAGCTTTCTTTTAAGCTGCGATCCCCTCCCCGCGGGGATGTTAGTGCATGCGGCCCTAAACTTTTTATTACGGCTTCTGATTTTTAGCGATGCCAAGACGTGTTTGCTGCAT